TACACATAAATTTTATTTCTTAACAATTCTGTTTGGCCTCCTGGAAGGTCTGAGTGACTTTAGGTGGAATAACCGGATCTGTTTGCTCCTGAGGAGCAGGCGCGAGTCTGCTAAGGAAAGGCAGGGAGACAGATGGTCGGCTATTGTGTTACAACCATCATCTGCTGGGCCGTGAGCAAATATTAAGTGAATAATATATATGTAATTGGTGTGAAAGTACAGTTGCAACATTTCTAATTCCCTTTGAACGATGGCTACTTCTTGAACATTTGTGTTTCATAGAATACTATATTGAAATGTTTTTGTTTACAGGGTTAATCCATTTTAAACTGCTTTAAGGTGAACATTTTCCCCCATTTCTGATACCACTGTGCAATATTTTGAATTGAAATGGCCTGTAATGGCCCTTTTTTTATTTTCCATAACAACACGAGCACTAAATTATAGCTGTGCAATTATGTAAACAATGGAAATGCTTCCAGAATGAATCCTTCCTTTTAAATTTTCATTTTGTGTAATTGTTGGAAGGTTTGGAGCCATAATAAACAAAATTATTTTACACATTTATCGTTCTAAAGGTCAATTATAAGAGAACTAAAGAAACAACACTATGCAAAATGAATAAACCAATTTCTGTTGCCATCACCATATGTTTTTCTTATCACTTATGGTTTTTCCAGTTACTGTGTACATAGCATTCAATTAAAGCGATTCATTTACCAGGCTGAATGTGGTTTGTGTTTATAGAACCGTGCTTTGGAGGAGAGGAAACAACACGCCTCTATTTGAATTACCTGATTTTTTGTGAGATCAGTGATAAGAGACAGATGTTCTCACCAGTTACTTTCTCATAAGCCAGAATCTTTTGATAAGCTGCAAATTCACAATTATCATCGTACAATCCACTTTCACACTAAATGTGTAGCATGCATGCGGACTTTTAACCAAAAACAGGAGAAAAATACTACTTTGGTTGTCTGTTTACTATATGGCAGCATTTTGCAGAATGAATTTTATTTCCTTTGAACAAAACCGTGTGAAAGAGTTTGGTCTGTGCCTCATACTGGTCAATTTTCAAGAATAAACTGATTCCTGTCCATTTTTCATTGGGCTTGTTATATTTTAGTCTCTTTAGATTATGGAAAAAGAAACATTTTTGCTACCAGATTCACTTGTTTCAGGTAAATTCTAGAACTGAGAAGAATGAAAGCTAGAAAGTCTAAACATACCATTTTCCTGTTTTTATTTTATTATTTGCCTTGGAAATTATATACATTATAGCTAATTTCTAGAATGCTTTGCTAAGAATGTTATCTGAGAGCATTAATTTCTAGAGTTTTTTAATATCTGGGATAATGTAATCTGAGAGGCTTATTTGTGCCACCTTTGAAATCTTTTGCTCTTTTTGAATATCAGCAAAATAATAGTCCATTGAATTCTACAAAGTAAATCTACAAAGTAAATTCTAGAAAGTAAAGTCTTTCAGAGTCCTTTCCTTTTTGAAAAAAAAATTTATTTGTTACTCTGTTTATTTTTGTATGGCCCTTTTCAGTTTAGAAAGGCATGTGTTCACATACTATACCATTAGATACGACTCTGTATCCATCTTTAATGGAAGAGAAACATGAAGCCCTAGGCATGGCAAGATCTGCCCACAGTCACATACACTAGGCCTTGAATCTAAGCCTCGAGGCCCCAGCCCCAGAGCTCTTTTCATCACACCAGGGTTTGAGTGCAGGGGCATTTCCCGTCGGTGGTCACAATGGAGGTTTCACTAAACAGCATCTAGTCACCCAGTAAGAACAATGGCCCCTCCTCACCTCCACCGGTCCCTGAGACTCTCTCAGGTAGGCCAGCTGGAATGGGTACAGAACTCTCACACCACCCTCAGGATCAAGCCACCCTTCATAACAAGGGGAGCCTTGGGACGCCTCGGTGGCTCAGTCGATTGGGCGTCTGCCTTCGGCTCAGGTGGGATCGAGTCCCACATCGGGCTCCCTGCTTGGCGGGGAGCCTGCTTCTCCCTCTGCCTGCAGCTCTGCCTGCTTGTGCTCCTTCTCTCTCTGACAAATAAACAAACAAACAAACATGAAAACAAGGGGCGCCTCTGTCAGGCAGTGCTATTTAACAAAAATGCAGTAGCCTTGGTTTACTGTTAGTGTTTTGACAGAAGGGTTATTTTCTATTTGTGACGTAGGATACTAGTTTTCCAGAATAATCTTATTTAAGTTAAAAAAAATGACTTGCTTTCAAAAACAGACAAATAATGCTCACTTTGGACATGGATATGGTAAAAGGCATGAGGTCCTACATGAATAATTAACATTTGGGAAGCACCGTCCTGTTCCCGTCTATAGGTGAAGCCCTGGAGACTGTGTAGCAAGTTTCAGAGTCTCCAGATTTTTATTTTCCGGAGATTCCAGCAGTATTTGTGATCTTACATCTGGAGGGGAAGGGGAAAGAAAGATTCTACTAGCAATGAGTAGAACCCTTGGTGGATATCCCTCTGTTGGGAATATGCAGTGGCTCTCTTTTGAACACCACACAGTTATTCCTAATTTTCGCATGTTATCACAAAGAGAGAATCTTTGGGTTGTTCCATTCCAACGTGGATAAGCAAAATAAGCAGGCATATGGCCATAATTTGGCTGACTGGCCATATAGTTCCCCCTTTGACTTCCACATTACCCCTACCCCAGTGCTGCCTTTAACTGGAGACAGCTAGCCCAGCCCCGCTTTTCCTCGGGGCTCTGTCTTACGTGGGTGGCAGGGTAGGGTAGGCTAGCCATCTGTTATTTTGCCCTCTCTTCTCAATCTTCTTGCCCATAGAAACCGGTTCCGTTGAAGTGACTGGCCCGCATCCAGGGGGTGGGGAGCCGGGTGAGTTTATCTCGGCTCCACGCATTTCTGCTGTCTTTAGCATCAATGGCAACTTCGTAATTTTTTGTGAATGCCCCATTTACAGGGCATTACCTTTACACATGTGAATCTTGTGAGGCAAAATGGATTTCATGTACAGATTCTGGCCCTAGCTTATTAAAGGATTCAGTTCATAATTCCCACAAACTTGTCCCAGAAAAGCATTTTTGAAAGTTAAAACTCTAAATTCCGGTGGTGAAAATGGCTTATTTAAGTAATACGCCAAAGATTTTTAAAAATCGACAGGGTTCAAAGCTTAGTTCCTCATCTCAACAGATGGAATTAGCACACACATAACAAAGTTAACAACATGGTTGTTTGCATTATTAATCTTCAGATGCATGGCATTCTGCTACCTTGCTGGCCAGGTTTGCACGAATCCTTTCACTGCGGGATATGTCAACAGAAATGTGCTCCCATCTGCTGCTGGGTAGCTTGATGCCTGATATTCCGAGACAAGGCCCAGCACAATGCGTACCTCTGTGAGTAATTACAGGTGTGTGGTGAGGAGCCCAGGGCATTAATCAGAGGCTTAATTATGAAAAAGGTGGATCTTTTGTTCCACTCTTGGAGCTTGAGTTTACTACACACTTTCTAAACTGCAGCATCCATCTGCTGAGCCCCTTAGAATGTTTACTTTGGCTGATATGGACCCTAAAGTGTATCAAAGGATGTGATTAAAGCGGGGTTAAACATTAACTTGGGAGAAGTGTGGGTCAGGTTTTTCTTTCCTTCCTTCCTTCCTTTATCTGTCTGTCTACTTACCTATTTATTTTTGGTATAGGACAAATTCTGCTGAAATGCTAAAACTTTAAATTAGTACTTGCTAAACTATTGACCATATCTGAACTCTAAAAGAGTAAGCATTGTACAGTCATTTTAAGGATATATAAGCACAATTTGTAGAAACTAAATGAATCCACTGTGTAAGGAAAAAATAAATCTTGGGAAAAAAATGTATTGTGAACACATAAAAATTCTCTTTCAAGATTACAGGTTGTGAAATGAGGTTATTTTTGTCACAAAGGACTTATGTTAGAATTTAGCAGGTTGCTACTACTTTGCTCTAACTTAATGAAATTAAATCCCAGATTATTTTAAAGGGCTTCTTAAATAGCCGCACTGAAATCTGAGAAAAGAAACCAGACTTTTTTCTGTATTTTGCTTCTTGTATTTTGGGACTAACTATAGGTTGAATAACTACAAGACACATGAAGTCTAGTACTTCAGTATGTTTGACTAATGTGCATGGCCTAGAACTGCAGAGAAGAAGTTTGTGGTGCTCTGACTAATCCCCCATGCACACACACACTTGCACAGATGGCTACAGAGATGTGTCCTGGCCGTGGGTGGCACGAACGCTGTCCAGTAGTGGAGCCCTGCTTTGCCCCAGGCTGGGACATGGTGGCTGCCTCACAGCAGAGCTGGCGGCCAGGGGCCGGCCTGCCCCCCACCAAGGACAGGCCGTTCCAGACACAGCAACACCAGGTGTCTGGGCAGTCATTGGTCTTCGTGCTGCACCCCGTGTAAAAGGCAACTGCTGTATTTGCACTTTGACCTCACAATCACACTTGTACCCAGAGCCACGCCAACTCCCTGAGCTTAGACTCTGACCACACTCCATTCATTCCCATTGTTTAACACAGAGTTGTCCAAAGAGTGAAAATTTCCAGGTCTTTGCCTACTTGAAGACTTTTTAATGTAATAGTGTGCTTTAACTTCTGAAAATGGAAGAATTCTGGAAGTGATAGATGTTTGCAGGTTTTATTTGTATATCTACCTCGACACTCCTGTAGCTTGTCCGAAGAGCTCACCTTAAGGTGGAAGACAGAGGGAGTGGCTAGTCCCAATGCCATGACTTAGGTTTTGTCATCTTACAACTTAGTATCCATTCTCTTACCTGTAAAATGGGTACAATAGGCCCTGGGCCAGCTCATCTCCCAGTACCCCTTTTACTGAAAAATTTCTGTGACCTGTGTTCTCTCAGTTTATCACACAGTGGCCATATGTACCAATGAGCTGACAACTTTGGAATTTTGTTGTTGAAAATTACAGTTGTGTTTTCTTATCTTCCCTTTTAGGATATCTTAAACACCATTATAAGGCACTGTCCACCCCGCTTCTTCTCCCTGGGTTTGCCTGGCTTCTCAATGCTGGTGGGGGACTTCATCACGGCTGCTGCCAGGGTCCTCAGTACAGACACGCCGGCGGTGAGTATGACAATGCTCAGCATCCAAACTCCCAAGAGGCTTCACAATCGCTAACAAGGTTCAGATTTCTCCACTCTTAACAGGTGTTGACTCATTAGTGCAATGTGAAACTGGGCTCTCGGGTAGATGCCCTGGCAGCTGATGTGTGAAATTGTAGGATAAGATGACACACTGGTATTGGGAAGGCGTTTCATCAAAAGGCCAGAGTGTGAAAAATCATATCCTCACTAATATTTCAGCACATTTACACAGTCAGAAGCAGGACTTATCTCTTAGAGTCTATTAGCATTTTCCAGTAAATGGTGGCACAGAGGAGATGTCTGTAGTAAAGAGAGAATTTTAAGTGTACATTATCAATAATTTCTTAAATTGTTATCTTGGTTATTATAAGTCTAATAGAAAATATTTTTTAAAAAGTTAGAAATGTTAGAACACTTAAATTTTAAGCAGATAATGAATATATATTATTAATGTGCAATAAAACTGACAAAATTCTTGTACTAAAAATCTAGAATCAAGTAGACTAAGTGTGAACATTCAGGGCTGCAAAAAGAAATTATTTGCAATCTCCACCTTTACCTCCACTATTGGGGCAATGTGTTAATAATGCTTTTGAGAGAACACTCTTCTACATTTCAATTTAAAGGGCCTCTCACTTTTGTGCTCTATACAACTGTTACCTGTTCAGACTCATTGTTTTCCTCTGCAGATGGTGTGAATGAAATTAGCTTTATTGTTTGCCGGGGACTTGTATTGAAATCAATATGAGCATCTAGCTATGTAAATTTTATTTGGTATATTGTTACTTTTTCACTCTACTTATTTCTCCTGTGCAGGGTAAATTCAAACTCCAACCCTGGATTTTAAATTAAGTTGTTTTTTAATACTTTATGTAGCTGGTATTTCACACTGGTATTTTCATGTGCTAACTTCTTATAAGGATAAAGTAAAAAGCAAAGAGAAGGGAAAAGAGACAGGAGCAAAAGGGAAGGATGAAAGAAGAAAAGAAAGGTAGAAGAAAAAAAGGAAGAAAAATGTTGGGTTTGTTCAACTTCTTTTGTGAGGAATATGACAAATTTTTATGCTTCTTTATATCTGAGAAAGATTTTAGGATAATCATTCTCAAAGAACCTTCAAATCTGGGGCGGCTGGGTGGCTCAGTCGTTCAGCGTCTGCCTTCGGCCCAGGTCATGATCCCAGGGTCCTGGGATCGAGCCCCGCATCGAGCCCCGCATCGGGCTCCCTGCTCGGCGGGAGGCCTGCTTCTCCCTCTCCCACTCCCCCTGCTTGTGTTCCTTCTCTCGCTGTGTCTCTCTCTGTCAAAGAAATAAATAAAATCTAATAAAAAAAAAGAACCTTCAAATTTATTTTTAAGCATTTAGATCAACATTGAGGAAACTCACAGGGCACAGGACGGAAAATCATACTTCTTTATTGACGATTTCCTTACTTGCTATTAGAATTTCCTGTAAAAATGCTGGCACCCTTTCTAGAGATAATATCATGCATGGTGGTCATTCTCGGTGAAAATTTATCTCTTGGCTAGATAAGCTGTTAAAGTAGCTTCCCCAGTTTTTTTTTTTTTTTTTTCAAAAAAGAGAACATGTGGTCATGCGCAAGTGAGAGTTATATCTGAATTACTTTGAATTTCTCTCAGTTTAAACTTGAGGTTTAAAGTTGTAGGGGAACAGGTGAGAGGTGTTTGGATGGGGCACACCTACTCACTCAGAATTTTTGGTTAACAAGAGTCAATTACAAGTTTGAAGTACCTCTGCTATGCAGATCTGCCCCGCTGAGGCAACTGGGGAAAGACATGTACATGCACGGGTCCCCAAGAGATAGGCAGGAGCTTGTGCTCAGTAAACGTCCTTTGTAGTAGCTGAAAACTACAACTAATCCAAATGTCCATCACCAATGGAACAGATATAGTGTGCACATAAGATAGCGTGTTACTTATAATGCCCTTCTCATGCTAGACCCTGGAGCTCTGTGGGGTCAGACCTGGGTTCCATCCTAGTGTTGCCTTGTACTGTACTGGTTCTCTACCCTAGACAATATGCTTAGGCACACAGGCCTCATTCTTCTGTGTGGAAATTGGGACTCACCCCAGGCTCAGTGCTTAGGCCAAAAAATTATTTAGATTTACCATATTCATTGAATAAAGCTGTGTAACAACTCCTTATTTTATTTAAGCGCTAATGTTTTGTATCTGATTATTACATAGTCTAGCATGCAATCTAAAAGTCCACAGCTCAGGGGCGCCTGGGTAGCTCAGTTGGTTAAGTGTCTTGGTTTTGGCTCAGGTTGTGATCTCAGGGTCATGGGATTGAGCCCCACATCGGGCTCCGCACTCAGCCGGGTGTCTGCTTGGCCTTGCCCCTCCACCTATGCCCCTCCCCCCTCGTAAAAAAATCTTAAAATAATCTTTAAAAATTAAAGTCCACAGTTCAAGCCAGGCTCACATGACACAATAATTAAGGCCACTCAGGGAAAGGAATCAATGAAGTCTAAACCAAGATTGTCTGGTAGATAAAGGGCAGCGATTGGAGAGGACTGACAAAGCAAGGCTGTTTGAGAAACATTTACTGTGGATCCACTACATGCTGGGACCTGGCCTGGATGAGTATGACAGGGCCCCTACCCTCAAGGAATCAGCTGGGTAAACTCAGTGTTAATATCTGTGCATAAGTTTCTAGCAGCCACAGTAGAATCACATCCAGACCCCAGAGGGAAGGCAACAGAGGAATAGTTCATTCTGCTTTGTGAGAGGTGGAGGGGAAGAAGACCTACATTAGAAAAGTCTTCATGGGAGAAGTGATGCTGAAGCAGAGACCTGAAAGGCCATCGGTGTTCATCAGCAGCCACCCCTTATCTTGAGATACTTTTTGAGCACCTACTGGGGTAGAGAAGTAGTGAAAACCATCTAACCCTGTCTTCATTGGGGTTACAAACACAAAATGACTATATAACACATCAGAACAGGGATGTTGGGGACCACAGAGGTGGAATGACATAATGTCTTGAATTCACTTTAAAATATTGAAAGTGGAAACTTCTTAGTGAATTTTAAATATTGAAATGAAAAAAATGAAACATACAGATGATGCAAGAGTGGTAAAATCTTGAATCTAGATGTTGGGTAGTTAGGCGTAACACTCTTTCTCCCTTTTTATTTAAAGATCTTCTTAACATAAAAATAAAGGAAAAGAAAGGCAGCAGATGAGGGGACAGACTGATGGAGATGGGGTAGAAGGACAGGACTCTGGTCAGGTGGAGCCCGTCAGTGTGAGATGCCTCTCGGCCACTGAGGGGGCACGACATACAAACGTGGACTTCAGGGGGGACTTCAGGGGAGGCAGTCTGGTATAGAGAGAAATGTTGGGGAATCCAACACGTAGGAGGCATTGAAATCATGGGTTGGATATCCTTTGGGAGTGAGTATAGATCTGAGAGAGAAGAGGGCACAGGACCACACTCAGCGTCACAGAGTTTGGATCCTGAGGAAATGAGGCATTCCATTCCATGAGACTGTCAGATCGCCTTAGGGCCAAATGGTGAAAGTGTTCCCAGGCCCAAGGGAGCCTGCGTCCTACACTGGCCAGGGGTCAGGTGAGGAAAGGCCTGGGTGGTGACCACAGGGCTTTGTGTGGTAGAGGTCACATAACAAGAAACTGTATTCACCGACCAACTTTGGCAAATCTTAACATTTTCATTTTGCCCCAGTGGTTTCAAGTCTTTGTATTTAAAAAAAATGAAATAAACCATTAAGGATATAGCGACTTCATGCCTGATGCCATGGCCATGGCTACAGTCGGAGCTGCTGTCACCCTCACCTGCCCTGGGCTTCAGTGAGCACCCGATGCTCTGCTCTCCCTGAGAGCGTCCACCCCACACTCCTGCTTCGTTCTGATGGCACCACTCCTCAGGTGCAATGAGACGGGCACTGTGCCACGTGGCTTGGGGGTTGCTACCTGGGAACCCCAGTGCTTTTCTCAGACTCTGCCCCCTGGAGCTCCTCCAATCCCTGCAGCACACCCACATGGCCTCTGGGCTCCGTGCACCTGGGCCTTTTACAGGCCCACAGGTGCCCCGGGTCTTCTGCCTTTTCCATTCCCACTGCCTGCATTGGCCCCTTGCCCCTCACCTCGCTCCCTCACTCTGCCGGCCTGGTTGGCTCCCTGCAGCACTATGTGACTTCTAGCAGCAGTGTGTCTTCGTGTCCCTAACCGTCCTGAGCAGAACAAATCATTGCCACATTTTGGGTTCCAGAGAGTATCTGTGTGTTTTATATTGTCCTTTGGACCTGTGTGCTGATGAGAACGAAGTGAGATAAAACATGAATGTTCTGGGCTCCCATGATATCCCCGCTATCTGGTTCTCATAGCTGTGTCAGTGCTATTTGCCTCTTCTCCCACACCCGACATGCCACACCGCCATCTCTCTGGGGGAGGGAGACTTGCTTTCATTTCATACCCCCAAGTGCTTAACAAAACAGGCCCACTGTGGACCCTGGAGTTAGATGGCCTCGGTGCATATCAGAGTGTGTCACTTGACAAGCGACTTAATTTCTCTGAGCCTCAGTTTCCTCACTTGTAATGTGGAAATGGTAATAGTATCTACTTCATTAGATTGTTGAGGGTATTCCATGAGGAAATGCTTGTACAGCATTTAGAACAGTGGCTAGCACCGTAAGCGTTAGCTGCTATTATTATAATTATTAGATAATAGTAGAGAGACAGAAGGGTAGATGGACAGGTGGGTAGGTGGGCGAATGGCATACCTTTGTAATCCTGTTGCCTGCCCCATTCTTGGCTAATCATAGCTGCTAGTAAGTGTTGGCTAGATTGAAATCTAGTGAAGTGTCTCCTTTAATAGATACCTAATTCCAATAATGGACAAATAAGTGATTTTGTATTTCACTAGATATCAGACACTACATGTTATTTTGCAAAGTATTCTTGATGAGAAAGGAAATTTGGTAGATGGTGTCTGCTGTCTTTCTCTGCCTTCTGAAATTCAACCCCAACCCCTCTTCCTTATGAATTTTTTTCACTGTCTTCAAGCAAAAATAATATTGAGTTGATATCACTCACCCTTCTTTGTTAAGAACATTAAGACTAAAAAAAAATAAAAATAAAAGGTAAAAGTCATGATTGAGTCATTTGCTCTTCTGACTCTGAATGTATCTGAAGACCAGTTTTCACAATGCTTTTTATACAAGTGTAGTGATAATTTCCATTCCTTGGAAATATACTTTTTCATTTACGCAAACCTCTCTTGCTTAAATATTCATTCACCTGGAGGGAAATAACCTGGCATAGTTTGATACTTCTTATCTAGGATAAAATAATTGTAAAGATTCCCTCTCAAAATCATGAAAAAGTAAAGAATGTTGCTTATGTAAAGTTTCTGGCTTAGAAGAAGAAAAATAGGTGTTTTCACTTTTTTGTGTGCAGACACCTCATTCAGAAGCTCTCACCATTCTCGGTTCTCTTGTCTGCTTTCCAAATACCTACCGGGACATCCCTTTACTGCAGTCTGTGCCAGAAGTCAAGAAAGTCATCACAGGAACTGAAGATGTCAAGGTACCACATGCGTTTGATTGAATCTCAAGTTTAGCATTTTATAATTCTAGCTATGTGGTCCTCTCTTCCATTATCATACATTGATCTACTTACCCCTGAAAGTTCTGCTTTATTGTTTAAATCTTTCAGTAGTTATTGTTGTTGTTGTTTTTTCCAGAAAGCTCTTTTAGGGGGATTAACCGTATTAGATTCAGAGCATATGGCAATTATAACTGATAGGCTCCTCGGGTGTTTTTTATTAGATCTGTTTATCATGCCTATGGATTGTAATTATGTAATGAATCATCCTTTGTAATAATTTTAGGTTTAATTGTGTCACATTAGTGCATCAGATGAGTTTGTAAGAAATAATTGAAGTTAGCCAAATATTCAGTCCCATTATTAGCCTGATTTAATACTACTAATAATTTGAGATGTCAAGTTATTAACTCCTTAGAGAATAAAAGTAAGCATTTGTTCTCCCCTTAACTGACTTTGGGGCAAACAAAAAATGCTTTTCTAATCTCAGAATCAATCTATCTATCTAATTATGGTACATAATTATAATATATAATTTAACATACAATATATAATGTAATTGAAGTAAAAGAAAACAGCTTTTCCTATCTGAAGTCTCAGTGGCTTTGCTAGGTTTTTACTGCATGCCTAGAAACCCTCTTCTCTAGGCTGGCTTACTTGCCCAGGGAGGCCCTGGCTGAGACCACCACCAGGCTGCTCCCCCAAGCCCTGTGTTTCCTTCCCCCCAGGTTCTCTCTGTTGGGAGCCTCTCCAGAGCTCCCTGGTCCTTCAGTAGCTCCTGACTGCCTGGAACACAGTCAGACCATGTGGGAAACCAACTACTAAACAAAGTTTTTATTTTACTTAATTTTGTGTTTTTAGCATTACCTCATAAATATTTTACTGAAGAATGCCACAGAGGAACCAAATGAATGTGCAAGGTAAATGTTGACTAAAAGGTAAACTATTTTAGGATTTTAAGATACAAATTTATGTGTAAACAGTTAATGTTAAAAAAAAAAAACACTCTTCCGCATTACTCATACACACACTAAAACGTATAGTAAGAATTATGTCAAGAAAATGCTTTACTTAATTTTTTTAATGTGTGCTACTATTACTATTAAGTGAAAACAGTAAGGTACAGAAGATTATGGCATGCTACATTTTGTAGGAGAATAAACAAGATTATGAATATATACGTGTGTTCCCTGTTATTTTTTTAATGAAGAAGAAAATGGAAGGATAAACCAAAAACTTACAAAAATGGTGTATGTATAGGTTAGTAATTCTCAGCCAGAGGTGATTTTGTACCCTAGGAGACAGCAATGTCTGGAAATATTTTGGTTGCTTCTGCTAGGCATCTTAGGTTGCTAGCGGTCTATTACCAATATAGAGGTTTTCTGAGCCACCTGTATAATGAAAAGTTGCAACCTGTCCTTTCAAGGTAAAGCCCAAAGCTGGGAGCAGTGGTGGAGGGGAACAACAGTTTCTCATCCTCTGCCTCCAAACTAATAAGCCCAGCTCAGCCTCCTGGCTGCCTCCAAGGAATCAGCTCCTGCCCTGTTCTCTCTCTAGCAGCCTACCAGCCATCACTGCCTTGTTAGCTCTTTGATGATTTTTTAAGGGTTTCTGGGTTGTGGGGGTTCTTTGGGTTTTTTTGGGGTTGTTTTTGTTTTGTTTTGTTTTGGAGGGGGGATTTGTATTTTGACTAACTTCTTCAGTGGTCTTCAGTGAATGGCTTAGTCTACCTTTTCTAGTTTCCCATTACCAGAAGCTATAAATTCATTATCAATTTGTTCATATTAGAGTAACCTTGAATTTTGGGATAAACTCACCTTGGTTTATACAGTACCATGTCTGATTTGACTAACATTTTGTTCAGGAAAGTTGCGTTTATATTTGTGGCCTGTAATTTTCTTTCCCCATCCTGTTCTTATCAGGCTTGATTCCAGGGTTAGATACTGTCACAGAATGACTGAAGTATTGTTTCATTCTCTGTAGTCAGCAAGAATTTTTATAAAATTAGAGTTCATGCTCCTGTGTATTTAGTATTTGGACCTCAATGGTAAAACTATCTAGGTCTAGTCATTTATTTATGAGAAGGTTAACCATTGACTTATTTTCTTCCATGATTTTAGGAATATTAAGGTTTTCTTTTCTTTTTTTTGTTTTGTTTACAGCTTAGATAAACTAAACTTGTGTAGAAATTTGTCCATTCCATCTAAGTTTTGAAATACGCTGGCTATCTTGTGTCTCTTTCACTCCAAGAGTTATATGCACTTCTTAATCCCTGGCCCTATTATATATTCTCTGATTTTTGTCACTAGTCTTGCCAAATATTTGTCAACTTTGTTAGTCTTTTCAAAGAACATACTTTTGTCTTTGTTCAGCCTCTTTATTCTAATTTTTATTTTCTACTTTCTGCTCCTTTTTCTTTCTTTCTTCATATTCTGTCATTCCTTTTCTTTTTATCAGCATATTTATTCTGATATATTAATATAACAGTATACTAACTCAGCATACTAATTCAGCTTTTCTCCTTTACAAATGTCAACATTTAAGTTCATATATTTATTTCTAGATGCTACGTCATCTGAGTTCTGTACATTTTGATATGTAATATTTTTCCACTACAGATTTTTTCCTGTTTCCATTATGATTCCTTCACTGAGTCATGATTTATTTAGAAATATATTTAATTTATATTAAATAATATATTTTATTTATCTTTTTGCTACTGATATCTTAAAGGCATCACAGATCCAATATGTTGTCTGTCAAGTAACAGTCTTTGAAATTGTTGAGATTTGCTCTATGGCCCAGTAGATAGTCAGTTTTTGCAAATGCCCTGGGTAGGCTTGAAAAGCATGTATATACCATTTCTTCAGTAGTTGGGTGTACTGCTCTAGATGTGTATGTTTGATTAATTTTTTTAATCATGTGTTTCAAATATTTTACATCCTTTCTAATTTATTTACCATCTTAATCATTTACTGAGAAAAATAGGTTAAAATCTCCCACTATTATGGTGCATTTATCTATTTTTCCTTGTACATCTGTCAATCTTTGTTTATATATTTTGAAGCTATATTATTAGCTATATAGAACTATAGAATTATCAAATCTCTATAGAGAATCATATCTCTTAATTTATGTAGTGACCCTATTTACCTCTAAGGATGATTATTTTTTTCTCTTAAAAACCACTTGTCTCATATTGATTCAGATATTTGTAAATAATATTTTCCATCCTTTTAAATTTAACCTTTCTATATACTTCTCTTTAAATGTCTTTGCAAAAATTGTACATTCTTTATTTTATATATTTATCCTGTCTGATCTTGATCTTTTAACTGAATCTTTAGTTCATTTACATTTACTGTAGTTACTGACATATTTGGATGTATTTCTTTCATTTGCCTTTATATTTTGTTATTTGTCCTTATCAATATTCTCTCATTTTGTCCCTATTCTTGCCTTCATTTTTCCCCTCTCCTTTTCTTCCTTCCTTTCTTTGATTCAGATGATTTTTTCCACATTCCATTTACCTCTGTTTTGCAGAAGTCATAGACTCAGATTTTTTAGAATTTGCCTTAGAAATTTTAATGTGCCTACTTGTCTTACTAATTCTGAAATTAGTCTGCCTTTACCCTTTTCCTGAGCAATGCCAGTTCCTTCGAATATAATCTTCTGATTTTATTCCTTTGTCACCGCAGCTGCTCCTGTTCTGTTTCCCTCCCCCACATAACCTCTGAGTGTTAGAGTCACTCGAGGTTTAGGGCTGGTCCTCTTCTCTCTCTCTGACTGTCCCAGGTGCTCTTATTCATGCTAACCAGACTTTAAATACCACTGAATTTCTGATACTGATGATACTGAATTTATTTGCCTGGCCTCTTCTGTGAACCCCCTATATATTCAGGCTTATGCATTAGGCTTTCTACTTGATATCTCAGCTTGGATATCTTAACACATACAAAATTAACACAACCATAGCTGAACCCTTGTCTCCTGACCATGCCTCAGACTCCATCTCAGTAAAGGGTACCACCATCATCTACCCAGATTTTTAATCCAGAATCTTGGGAAAAATCCTTGATTTCTCCTTTTCACTTACCTGTCACATTCAAACCCTTAACATGTCTTGGCAATACCTTCCCCTCCTCTTTTTCTTTACTGTAGAAAGCCAAGTTTCTGTGGAGTTGAAAAATGGAATAGAAATGTGTATGGTATGCTCTGTCTTTATCAGCTGTGTATAAAACATGGAGTTAGACAATGAAATTGAGGTCATGCAAGTGCAGATAAGCAGAAATATGACCAAGATTTCAAATAAATGGAGGATAATTATGAGAGAAGGTAGTTAAAATTATGAGTGATAATGTAGAAAAGTTAAGAAAAAATAGTAAGTTTCTGTTACATAAACTGGAGTGGTGTGAGATGGCAGAGTAGCAGTCTCCAGAGAGTGGGTTGCCATACAAAGGAGAGTGAAGGTGGTCCTGCCATTAGCTTAAAAAAAAGTCTTGAGAGAGAGAACCCATTTGGGATTACAAAGGACACATTTGGGATACAGGGAACTTAACTGACAGAAACTCAAAGCCAAAAGGAATACCTGAGGGTACCAGAATAGGGAGATGCTAAATGGGAATGCTAAATCATAAATTTCAAAGAGAGAAAATAGCATTGAAGAGCTACTATAAGCTAGTGTGGCTTTAAAACTCAAGGCAGGTGAGAGTAGTTCACATTATGAAACCATTTTATGGGTCACAAATGTTCTCTGTTGTGCAAGGCTAATAGTTACAGAGTAATGCAGGTGTTCCTTAGAAATGAGAGATCTTTGCTCTTAATGAATTACATTTAACAGATAGGTTAATGGGTTGTAAAAAAAAAACAAAAACGTGTGTGTATTAAAACACACACACACACACACAGAGAGAGAGAGAGAGACGTGCAAGCCTGCAAAGGAAGAGAGGCTCTTAAAGTGGTAAAAATATGATTTGGGGTATAATTCCAAGTTAGATAGATTTTAGTGGGTTGAACAATCAGAGTCTGAGTTAAGCTGGGGGAAGATAAAGAGGCAAATAGAATACATGACAGAGAGTGCAGTTTCTGGACTGAGAATCAGTATAGAAATCAGGCAAGAGGAGACAGTCCTATACAGTAAGGAAAGCTGAGGGTTTGAACTGTGTAGAACTCCTGTATAATGCTGGCGTTGGAGAATCCAGGAAGACCAGGCACACCTTATAAACTGGGCTGCATGCTTATCCTGAGTGCGTTTTGGTAGAAGGTGACAGTCTCCAAAGAGCTTTTAATAAACGTGTTCTGAAGCACTTTATCCATCCTAATTTAAAGAGGTGAAAATCCAGTGAAACATGGTGGTTTTAAAACCTCAAAATATATTTATTTTAATAGCTGGATTATGCTGAATACAAAGAACTTGCACTGTGGAGAGCTGAGCAGTACATTCAGTTTAATTGGCACTGGCAACGTGACCTCTTCTTACAAAGAACAACATACACATACACAACTAGTGTCTGGTTCCAAATAGTGGCTTGAAAACACCTTTTGTTCTGAAAGTGAGCAGGTTTGGGAGCAAGTATTTTAATTTTATATGTGGGCATTCAGAAAAGATTAACAGGAATATGACTTTTCGATCATTGCAAAAGATTAGAATATGTCAATTTCAAAGATAATCACCACTTAAAGTTGATTTATAATTGAAAAAGGTAATTTTTAAAGGACTGTGCAACTTGAAGAAGGCTTTGTCCTAACACATTGTTTAAAAGCAGTAACAGTGCAGCTGATTCTGAAAGTTGTATTCCAATATTTTTTACAATGAAATGTGGGGTTTGTCTTCTGTTTGTAGTAGGTGTTGTAAATTTTATTGTAAGAAAAACAATTACAAACTCGTCCAACCATTTTCTAAGATTCATGTTTTTGATTCTTCCTCAAAACTCTCTTGAAGCAATACAACATAATTTAAAGTGTCAGCAAAAATAGCTGATATGTGCTCTGTGACTATGAACAGGATATAGACCATTTATTTCATTAAATATTTAATTGCTAACCAATATCAGTACTTCTATTTGTCCTGAAAACTGAACTATTGAGGGTACTTTATCTTTTCCTCAGGAAGACACTCTTAACATATCTATAATTTTGGCTACTTTGTAAAAAAGATTTAAAATACTTTGTCACTTGAAAATACCAAGAAAATATATTAAATTTTTTGAGAGTTTCCTTCCTTTTCCTTCTTTTTCAAAAGATGCATTGCCATTTGCTCCCTCGGGGTCTGGATATGCGAAGAGCTGGCACAGTGTACAAGCCATCCTCAGCTGAAAGAGGCCGTCAATGTGATAGGTGTCACTTTGAAGGTATTACCGATCCGTGATGTGTATTTGACAGTAAGCTGGATCCCAGATAGTCAACCAGTTCTAGTTTGAATTAGCCCATCGCTATTTTCCCATACGTGAGAGATTTTGAATCAAAAATTGTTTTTCTGCGAGCCATGTTGAACATTCTGTGAGGCTCCCAAGAGAGGCCACCATCAGCTGCTTCCCCACTGGTGGCTGCAGCCTGGCCATCCATAGCCTGAGTGCTCCTGGACCAAGCCCTGCAGCTGAGCAGGGTTCCTCTGGTAGCTGGGCACTCCCTGTGGCAAGCAGCACAACTGTCATCTGCTGGTAATAGTGACAGGCAGCTGGGATTTCATGCCCTGGCCTCTTCAGTGGGACTGGGAGAGACCTGACAGCTCCTGGTTAGCGGTCCTGAGTGCTCACTGTCTGACTGGGTCTTGGCACTTTTAGGATGGCTTTCTTCCTTTGCTTCGTTAATGAAAAGAAGAGCTGCCATTCACTGGGCAGTCATGCTGGGCTGGATTCATGGTAGAGTCTCTATAACCTTCACAACAGCAGCTCTGCAAGGTAGATAGTACCATCCCTATGTCACACCAGAGGAAAGCAAGGCGCAGAGGAATCAGGGCATGAGCCCATAGCCATGCCGGTATAAGCGACAGCACCAAGAGCAAACAAAACCTTTGTACATACTCTTAGGCCACTTTCTAAACCAGAGTTCAAATCCTGCCAGGTCCTTTTCTGGCTCCTGCTTACAAATGGTGGTAATAATTAGCATTGCTGTCATTATACCCCAGAACCAATGAGTGCCCAGTCCCTGCCAGGCACTGTGCCGGGAGTTTGTGGAAGTTCTCAGCTGTGAGACAGTTGTCCCATTTTACAGGGAGGAACTGGGGTGCAGGAGAGCTAAGGAGCTCATTCCAGGCTCTAGAGCCTGGCTAAGCCAAAGTTCAAACCCTGAACTGTTTGATACCAGCATCCAGGCTCAGGCCTGCCCTTCTTTACTGCCTGTCATGTGCTGCTACAGTAGTAACCGCCACTGTGGCTGACACTGGGACAGTCATCACCAGGCCATTGACAGCCCCTGTGTCACCCTTTGTGCTTCAGCCCACAGGATAACCAGCCGGGGGCATCCCCTGCCCATGGCTTGGCATCCAGCCCTCTGGTCTAGCCCCTGCCTGGTTTTCAGCCTGGTTTCATGGCAGCCTCCTCACCCACTCCCCTTCCTGGCCAAGCTTGGTGCCCTCTGACCACCCACCTCTGTCACCCCATCCTGCTGTTCTCTCCTCCTCCACACCTGGGCATGCCGGTTCTATCATGAGAGCTGGAGAAACACTTGCTGCTGATCCCTGTGGTGAGGAATGGAAAATTGATCCAACCAGGATTAGGAGTGCTCCCTCTGGCCTGAGCAGGGCGCTGACCTTTGTGGTTGCCTTTAATCCTTAGAACCACCCTATGAGGTGAAGGGTTACTGCCACCTCCGCTTCACAGATGTGGAAAATGAGCTGATTGGGAAGTAAAGAGTTGGCCAGGGTCAAACCCAGGACACCCTGACCCCTTGTCTGGGCTTTTGCACAACTGCAAAAGCCATGGTGAAATATTCACATGTAACTATACTGAAAAAAAGTTGGATAGCAATTGTATATCTATGCAGAGTCTAATTTTTTTAATATCCTATTTTCTCAATTCTAAGATCTGTTTTTCAAATGTTGAGTGTAGCGTGGCTTCCCCACCTCTACCCCTTTCCTGGAAAAGCTGTTAATAATTCCGTGGTGTCTGAGAATGAAGGAGATGTGTAGAAATATCTATATAGCTATCCTTCTACCCTATGTGGTTCTTTGTAGTACAGAAGAGGGATGGAAATTGATAACAAAAGTAGAAGAATATGAGGGCTTACATTTTGTCATTGTAGTTTCCACATTTTCAAAAATTTCTTTACTTTTTCTGTAATGATGAGGAAAAACATAAGGCACCAGAAAAAGAATGCATGGAGCCCAGACTCTGTCAGGGGCATCCCAACACAGTGCAGGGACTGTCCCATGGAAGCCCCCCACCACTGTAGGTGCTCTGGCTCTCCCCCATTTTAGAAATAAGAGAGAAGGCAACTGAAGAAGGCCAAGGAACTCATTCCAGCTTGAATTGCAAAGAAATCAGAGGGCCAAGATCGGCCAAATCCAGCCTCCCTTTAGCCATTAGGAATAGCAGAGGAAAACTCATGGGTGTAATTCCTGGGACAACTCCCTGCCTGACTCCCTCTGATGTCTGTGTTCCTGTGCCAGTTGGTACTTTTACTGAAGGAGGTGGCACATAAATCTCAAAGAACTGAGGGCCTAGCAGGGAGAGCGTTGCCACAGGGAACAACTCTAAGAAGAGGGGCCTCAGGGAGGTTCGGGGCTCTGCTGGGAGGAGGCCCAGCCCCAGCAGCACAGGGAGCATGAGCCCTGGAAGGGCTTCCCGCCTTATGGATTCCACATGGCTCTGCGCACCGCTCTGCTGTGGGACCCTGCCCTTCAGGAACACTTGACAAGGTTGACTTGGGTGTTCCCTCTGATGTGGGAAGGGCATGGTCAGACAAGGCTTGGAAATGCTCCCCAGGGGGCATCAATGAAAACCAGCCTGCAGCCTCAGCAGTAAACGAGAGCAGTGCACTCATAGGCACCTGTGGAGATTTCCACCCAGCTAGTTGTGTCTGGTGGGGTAGTGTTGTGGGCAGCAAGGGTGGCAGGGGAGTGTTCTAAGCCTGAGCTGTAATTACCTAGGTGTCCCATCCAGGATGTGGGCCAAGGGCACTAGAGTGTCACCTTTGGCTCTGGCTCAGGTGAGCTGCCAACCTTGCATCCCAGGCAGCCCAGCCTGAACCCCTACCCTCAGCCTCACCTGTTCCTCCTTCTCTTACCCCATCATTAATTGTTTCCTCCTCCTTACCCCACCACCATCTTCAGTCATAGAGTCCTGCTGCCCTAGGGCCATCCCTCACCCAGGCTGTCTCCCTCTGCCAATACCTGAGCCTCCAGGTGGTGCCCTCCAACTCCATGGCCCTAGTCTGGCCCCCATAGATCTGTCCTCCAGACTGCCACCAGAGGCATCTGTCTGCACAAGGCCTGACCAAGCCACCCACAGACTAGAATACTAAGCATGGCATTCAGGGACCTACACAAACAGGTCCCTGCCCGTTCCCAAGATTGTCAGTCTTTCAGAGTAGGGACTGTATCTGCCCTGTTCATCTTGTGCCCTATGCTTTGCTTTTCTTTTTTGGCTTAAACAACATGGGAGTATATTGGTTCATATAGCTGGAAAATACATGGGTATGGAAGAGTTTGAGGTTGATTGATCTAGGAGATTAACAGCGTCAACACTGACCTAATTGTTTGACTCTTCTGCTCTGTAGTCCACAGAGGTGGCTTCATCTTAGGGTGGGATGCCCACAGGGTTGGAGGATGTCTGCCAGTAGGAGTCAGGGTCCTGCCTGTCCTTGTTCGGGTTCAGCAGGACTTCCTTTACAGCATTCTAGTAAGGGCTACTGAGATGCATTAGGTGAGGTTTCTCCCTCATCCCTGTGCCAGTGACTGAGGCTGGGAATAAAATCTTCTCATTTATTGCAGCCAGTTAGGGCACATTCCTGGAGCTGTGAGAGGGGACTTGCACCTGGAAAAAGATCTACTATTAGTTAAGGAGAGAGGGGGGAATTGACACTGGCCAAGCAAGTACACATTTTAGAGAGCATCCGGGAGCAAGAGATCCTCTCTAGTGGGAAGAAGGTGGCATGTGAGTGCAGAAATGAATAGTGAGAAGGAGCTGGGCAGTGTCTGGGAAAGGGGCACTCCAGGCAGAAGGAGCACCAAGGACCAAGGCCCTGAGGTGCCCATGAATTGGTATACATTTGAAGAGCAAGATGTTGATCTATGGGGCAGAGTGCGGTGTCGGGGCAGCAGGGGAGCTGGGGCCTTAGTACTTGTCAGTTTAGCTGAGCCTGGACAGCATTTCCCAGAATTCTTTTCCCCGTATGGTTTTTTGGGGGAGTGGGGTTGATTACTTTTTTTATTATTATTTGAGTATAGCTGACACACAATGTGATGTTAGTTTCAGGTGTACAACACAATGATTCAACAACCTATCCCTTCTGCCATGCCTACCACAAGTGTAGCTGTGTCACCATCAGTGCTGGCACATTGTCTTCATTCCATGAGTATGTGCTGAGTGAGTGAGTGAGTGAGTGATTTATCCCCCCCCACCACAGCATTCACATGTGACTAATACCACCCCACTTGCAGCCCTCCAGCCCAGCCTGGCCTGCCACAGGGCCCTGCTGCACGGAGACACTCTCCCTCTGCACTCTTCCAAGCTAAGCTCAGCTCTCCTTCCCCCTACAACACATCCTCTCTGCTGTCTGCCCCCTCTCTCACACCTTACCCCTTTCTGCCCAGAGGCTTGTTGTCTGGTCTACCAGAGTTCTCATTTCTTGTCGTCCTCTTGTGTGCTTCCAGATTCTAGATGTAAGAGCCATGCCAGCTTTCTGTTTCCACCCCATGACTTGACCACTGTGATGCAGCAGAAATACACTCATGTTCTTCAGTCCCTCAGTTCCATCTTTACCTCAGACTCACCATGTGCTTCTTCTCGGGGGGTATGCAAGGCATTAAGAATATAATGGTGAACAAGATGTGGAAAAATTAAACACACCAAAGAATAGGCAGACAAATACAGAAGATCAGCTTGATAGCCCTTAATGCCATAAGGGAACTATAAGAGGGAAACAGGTTGAAGCTGAAGAGCTGGAGCAGGTGGGCTGCCACTCCTTCGAATGGGCATGGTGGCCTCATGGAGGAGACATTTAGTGCCATGATCTGAAAGATGTGGCAGTGCCAGCAACATGCAGACCTGGGGAATGAGTGTCCCAGGCAAAGCAAGGAACAAGTGCAAAGGCCCTGGGGCAGAAGCAAGCCAGTATTTGAGGGATTGAAAGAAGCCTATGAGCATCAGGTCATCTGAGGCCTAGAGGCCAGGCTCTGAAGAGCTCCTTGAGCACAGATGCTCTTGCCCTGGGTGTACTTTGTGCCTATCAGGAAGGGGCAGTCAGGAAGTGTTTATCCTACAGAATTCAAAAGAATCCCCTTTGCCTTAACTTCTTCTTTGTCCTGTGTGTTTACACTGAGATGCTAAATGTCGACTTTTCTGTGTCTATGTGGTGCTGAGGTCAATTGGGATCTGCTTCATGGGACTTGGAGCTCCTGGCATGGAAATAACTAAACTACATATCCAGAGGTTTCCCTGGACAAGGACCCAAAATCAGTGACAAATCTTTCTTCTGTAGGTAATGAGGTGTGGATAGCAGAGTAGTCCCAGGTTCTGGCCAGGGAGAGAGGTACAGGGTACCTTCACCTGTTTCATCCACCCCAGCCCGTGGACCTTGTAGGCACCATCCCTCCCCATTAATATGCCATCTCACAAGAAATGGGAGCATCCAGAGGACCTTGGACACACACCAGACTCCAAAAACATACTTAAAGTAATTGGGTACACGAGAACATATGAATTCGGTTCTTGCAGTCACCAAAGTTTCACATTTCTTAGTACATTACACATGCAGGTTCAGTCCCCATTTCTCCAGGTATAAAGTGAAGATCATGTCTACCTTGCAGAGCTGCTAATGAAGATTTATCAATGTGAAAATGAGGAAAATTCTTGTAAAATGCCCAGCACATAGGGAATACTCAGTAATGGACTACATTTTAATTTCCTCTAATTGTCAAAACTATGATTTGTGCAATCTGCATGAGGCGTCTGAAATTATGGTTTTAATTTTTCTATGACTAAACAACAGCTACTTGTTTCTGCAGAACATTACGTAAATTAATACAGCTAGTCTGGACAAGAGGCAGTTACAGGATGGTGATCATATACAAACTATCTGGTACCAGGACACATTTTTCAAAAATTGAATGCCAAACAAGAAAATGTATCCCTAAATATTGCTGGAAAGAAATGCCTGTTCTTTTCTTCCTCAGGACAAATGTACCTGTTAAGTTCAGTCCTTTCGTTTGGGGTTTTGTTTCCCTTTATAGTTTTCTAACAAAATCGTGGCTCAGGTGGCCTGTGATGTTCTTCAGTTGCTGGTTTCCTACTGGGAAAAGCTTCAGATGTTTGAAACCTCTCTCCCTCGGAAAATTGCAGAAGTAAGTCTTTTCCTGTAATGCTAAAACATAAGCATTTCCCTTTTACTCTATGCGATATTTAATGAATTACAGATACTCAAATAATTGTTAGAGAACTGTCTATTACATTGCCATACGAGTCATTCGTTTTAAGAGTAAATCGCACTGGCCTTTCTCAGCTGTGATTTCAGGCACTACGTAAAGAAGCCACCAGTGTTCAGGGCAGAGTCTCACACTTGGAGAGTTTGAAAGGCAGACACGACCACAACAAAGAGACCTTTTGTAGATTGGCTTCATTCATCGAGAGTAATTTGGATGGTGCCAACAAGGAGTAGGCAGCTGGTTATGATGCCCTCTATGCAGGGGCGGGGAGTGGGGGGGACTGTTGTATGAAACAGGAGTCTCTCCCAGACTAAAGCCCCGGACCACGCTTTCTGCCATAGCGTGATTACCCAGCTGTAATGTGATTACTACTGTAATATGCTTGGGGGGAGGGGGATGGGGAGGGCAGTTGGTGGGAGAGAAGGACAGAAGGAACAGGAAGAATCATCCCAGTGATGATATCCTGAAGGTCAATCACATCTGATGGTGCTTGCCTGTACAGAAGCAGGTGCCCTCACCTCTGTAGGTGCCTGCATATAAGGCACATCCATCCCTGCCAGTTTTGAAAGCTACACTTTTTGAAACATGCCCTGTTCTTTACACATCCAGTGGTAACTCTTCAAGGAAATTTGATTTATCTCTGTGTGGTATTACAGGGAGAGAAGAAGTGATACTGATTTATTTTCTCTCAGCCCTAGACAGATTTCGCCAGTGAGATCACTTAGTTCTCTAGGTGGCCTAGAGTGGAACAGAGCTCTGGACACAGGAATAGCAGATACTGCAAGTTGTAAAGTTGTGTTTTAGGGCAACTGTGTACAGTTGACCCTTGAACAACATGGATTTGAACTGCATAAGACCATTTGTATGTGGATTTTTTGTATAAATACAGTAGAGGACTGTAAATGTATTTTCTCTTCCTTACGATTTTCTTAACATTTTCTTTTCTCTAGCTTACTTTATTGTAAGAATACAGCATCGTATATATATAACATACAAAATATGTGTTGATCAACTGTTTATGTTACTGATGAGGCTTCCAGCCAGTAGTAGGCTATTAGTATTTAAATTTGAAGGTCAGGGGAGTCAGCACCCCTAATCCCTGGGTTGTTCAAAGATGAGTTATAGTTTATCATCAAAAGAGGAATACCTTTGAGAATGCAAGGGGTGCTTTTACACCAGGACAACAGATGGAGACCTGAATGGTTTGTAAGAAAATCAAATGGGAGCATTTTCATGGTTATTTTTGAAAATATTTTTTACTTTCATTGTGTAAAGTGTAGAGGATGGTGATGGGAATTGTGTGACCACAGAGAGAAATGTTCCTTCCTCTGGGGCCCCCAGTTTCAGCACCAGTAGAGTGGAGTGGAGACTGGGCATGGCTCTATCACTTTCTCCTGATTTTCAGGACCGCAGGTAGCTCTAAACTGGCTCTCTGCTTTTTGTCACCTTTCTCTAGTGAGTTGGCACCAAGCTGGGTTTAGTGCAAGGCCATCTTGGGACTCTTAACATATGGTTTCCCAAACTATTGCTATGGTCTATTTCATTGGGGATTTGTCTTTTATGCAGATCCTTGTGGCCACAATTGCTTTTCTTTTACCAAGTGCAGAGTACTCCTCAGTGGAAACAGATAAAAAGGTAGGTGGCACATCAGCTAAGTTTTTTCCAGAGTTTGTTTTTTTTTTTTTTAATGTAAGACCAAATGATAAATAATGTTCTATGTAGGGATATCCTTTATAGTATTCTTCCGTATTGGTCCTAACAGTCTCCCCTGTGAAAACTTTTATTTATTCATTTATTTCTTTTGCATTTGTGTGTCCACTGAATAATTATTATTGTACAGGGACAGTTCTATTGTTTGCTGTTACATGTAGTGAAGTTTGAAAGATTGCAGTGTATGTCTCCTCTTCCAGTTTATTGTGTCCTTGCTACTCTGCCTCTTGGACTGGTGTATGGCATTGCCAGTGAGCACCCTTCTCCGCCCGGTGTCTGCGGTGGCCCTGGAGGGGCAGCACTCATCCAGAGGCCCTTTGCTGGACTATATCTATAGGGTGAGTCTCCATTTGGGCCTCAGGGGCATAGAGTATAGACGTAAGCATCAGAGAATTACCAAAATATGTTTTATACATTTACTTATTTATTTGTGCTCTTTTGAAAAGCACATATGGGGGCTGAAGCATTTTAAAAGAAATGGATAATTTAAGTAGTGAAAACAGAGCAGATATTATTGTAAAGAAGCAATGGTTACCAAGTGAAAGAAGCCTGCATTTTCACATGACTTCCATCTTTCAACAACTGCAATTTGACCAGAAACCATCCCCCCAAATTTTCATGTAACATGGTCTATCTCTACTTAATTTTATTTTTTTATTTTTTTTTATTTTTTTTTAAGATTTTATTTATTTATTTGAGAGAAAGAATGAGAGAGAGAGCACGTGAGAGGGGGGAGGGTCAGAGGGAGAAGCAGACTCCCTGCCGAGCAGGGAGCCCGACACGGGACTCGATCCAGGGACTCCAGGATCATGACCTGAGCCGAAGGCAGTCGCTTAACCAACTGAGCCACCCAGGCGCCCCTCTACTTAATTTTAAAAAGAACTGTTTATATTGTAGGAATATTTATAGCCATAGTTTGACAAAAATCTTATCAATGGAAGAAAAAATATAAAAGTCTCAATAGTCTCTTTGTTTAAAAGATCTAAATTTTATTTATTTATTTGAGAGAAAGAGATAGAGATAGCAAGAGAGAGCGCAAGCAGGGAGGCGAGGAAGAAGCAGACTCTCCACTGAGCAGGGAGCCCGACTCAGGGTTCCATCCCAGGACCCTGAGCTCATGACCTGAGCCGATGCTTAACCGACTGAGCCATCTAGGCACCCCGAGATCTTAAGAAATAAATTAAGGAAATATATAACATCAAAGTATTTAGTCTCATCACTTTTATCATACTCAAGATATTTGAATTTCAGCCCCTACTGATACGTAGGTATGGTGTTTGTTCTGGACTCTGTATTATCCTTCTATATTGGCTTTACAGTTCCTCCTGTGAAAGCTTTATTTATGAATTTAGCACTTGTGTATCCATTGAATAATTACTACTAAGTAGAGACAATTCTGTTAATTTTTTTAGTAACAAACCTTTACTAATAACCTTTATTTTTTTTTAAAGATTTCATTTATTTGAGAGAGAGAGTGAGCAAGAGAACACAAGCAGGGGGAACAGCAGAGGCAAAGGGAGAAGCAGGCTCCCCACTGAGCAGGGAGCCTGACGCGGGGCTCGATCCCAGGACCCTAAGATCATGACCTGAGCCGAAGGCAGGCACTTGACCAACTGAGCCACCCAGGGGCCCCTACTAATAACCTTTAAAAAAAAAATTCCAAGTCATTAACTTATTACTGTGTTGCCTTGTTTTAAAATGTATCTGATACAAGGGAAAAAGACACTTAACATGGTTGAAATTCTACTAAAAAGTATTTTGTATTTTTAAATGGTTTCTTTAGTGGTCAAAAATTTTAATAACTGTTAGGATTCATTAGATACTTCTGTCATCTTTGTGGCTTATAAAACCTATTTGAGGCCTGACTTGACCAAGTAAAGTAGCCACAGCTACTTTAAATTATTTAAATTTATTAAAACATTTAAATTTATCTCTTTTCTGATATTTCTTTTCTTAAAAGATTTCTCTTAAAATTGTTTTACCAATAAAAGAGTCACCTCCTAGTTAACATGATTCACAAATTTATTGAATAACATTATTGTATCTTTAAAGGAAACTTTTTATTAAGTATAATATGCATCCAGACAAGTGCTTCAGTATGAGAGCTTGATGAATTTTCACAAAGTGATCACACCTGTGAAACCAGATCCCAGCTGCAGAAACTGAATAGCCTTGGTATCCCAGAAGCCCCCATCATGCCTCCCTACTAGTCACTATCTTCAATGCACATACCTGGGGTAACCGCTAGCCTATCTAACAGTGTAGATTTTTTTTGTACTTTGTATAGCTGGAATTATGCAGTATGTGCTTCTGTGCTTGGCGTCCTTCACTCAGCATTATTTCTGAAGGATTCATTCATACTCTTGTGAATAGTTGCAGATTTTTCATTTGTTGCTATTTGGTAATACACAATGAGAGGATGCCATGATTTATATCTGTTGTACTGTTGATGGACATTTGGGTAGTAGAGTTTGGGACCGTAAAAAGAAGATCTGTGACCATTCTGGTGGGCCACAGCAGGACTTAGGGCAAAATCAGCACTTTTTAACTTACACTTTCCTTTTGTCTTGAGAATATATTTATTGGCATTGATGTAAAAGGAGCAAAATAAACTTACAAATAGCAAGAAGATGTTTTCGAATGGAAGGGATTCTATGTCTACCAAGTATCACCTACCTCCTAAGTGCTCTTGTAGGGTGGCAGATTGTCAGGGGACAGGAGGTTCGTCTCATCCACGGCACACATTCCCTTCTGTTTTTCACAGGTTCTGCACTGCTGTGTTTGTGGCTCAAGCACATACACCCAACAGAGTCACTACACACTGACCCTGGCCGACCTGTCCTCCCCGGATTACGATCCTTTCCTGCCACTGGCAAATGTGAAGAATTCGGAGCCAGTCCAGTATCATTCATCAGCAGATTTGGGCAACCTGCTCACAGTTGAAGAGGGTGAGATTCTTCAGAATATTAATTCTCATGGGCAGGAAAAGGAAAGACTGTAGCCTTTTGCCCATGCTTGCTATATTATTTTTAACAATCTAGTTTCTGCTTTCTAGACTCTTCAGTGATAGCAAATTCTGCCTTCCTTGTTTCTTTTTTTCTCGTTTCTTCACTTCCTCTCTCTTTTCCTATCTTAGCTGAATTTTGTATTGAGGACCTGTATTTTTCAGACCTATGAGACCCACAGAAAAAGGCTCATTTCTATCCTACAGGAACTTTACGTGTAACTGGAGAGACAGGATTAATGCAGGAGGATTTATTTGTGGACCCGTAGCACCATGGGGGCTTCCTATGGGGAAGGACCTAAGCCAGACTTAGAAGGATGGGCAGACTTTGAAAGGATCTCGTGGAGGGTTGCAGACTAGGAGAGCATTGTAGAGAGGTGGGGATTTACATGCCACAGTTTGAGGATTACTCTGCTGATGGCAGAGGGTCCGTTTTAGAATATATGGGTATCGTCAGGATTAGGAACTGCTGTATGTCTTCCTCAACCTCCCTTCTTCCTGAAAGGCAAAGAGCCTATCTCTGGGCCTTGAAATATGAGTCCAAAGGTAGGTATATCACCTGTACATATGAAATAATTGCATAGAACCAAACACACACACACACATACATAGTACATGTGAAACGAGTAAACTCTGAATATTGATGAATCATATCAAATGTACCATATCATATCAAGATACCAATCAAAATTTCCTGATTGTGATACTGTACTAAAGCTATGCTATGTAAGATATTACCAGGGGGATGAAGGATATTTGGGATCTCTCTGTATTATTTCTTACCAATGCATGTGAATCTTCTATTGTCTCAAAGTTAAAAGTTAAAAAAAAATGTGGGTGTGGAGTGTTGGATCATCCATGAAAATGTTACAGACTTGGCAAGTTAAAACCTAGGCCCAAGGGTGGAACCTTGGGAGTAAAAACACGTTAAAGAAAAAGGAATGAGGGAATGTCACCAGGAAAGCAAAGTCAGGGAATTGGAAAAAGAATCCAGACAGAGTCAGTTCTGAGAAGTCGAGGGAAGAAAGGGAATAAGGAGCCAAGAAAAGTCAGCAGTGCTAGGTGCTTCAAAAACATCACGGAGAGTGGGAGCTGTTTTGTTTTGTTTCCCAGCTAAGCATTTGGTGGTGAGTTTTGCTGAGTACTTTGGGCATGGAGGTTAGTCTGTAGCCAAAAAGCCTGAGCAGGTGATTTGGGGGTGACTGTTCAGACCCCCAAGACATTCTTCTTGTAGGTCCTTTGGTGGACAAAGGAGGGACAGTAACCAGGTGAGGGCACGGAGTCCAGGGCTATGCTTGCAAGACTGCAGAGTCTGGAGTATGGGTTAGGCCGGGAGGAAGACGACAGGTGAGGTGACGATGAAGAGGACGGGAGTAGGAGCACCAGTCATTGGCAAAGGCTCTGGAATCGTCCAGTCCAGGAAAGTTTTATAGAAAACCTCAGACTTTATGCAAGCTTGTCCTAACATAGTTCTGTGGTACTAAAAATAATTGTTTGTACTTCAGAGGCAAAGGAGTTTTAAAATTCACTAACACTTTAAATAAAAAAGCAAAGCAGCTTAAAAACATATTGGCATGCACAGACACTCTTGCTGAGCAGGTACACCCTCTTAAGAATGAGAGGAAAATTAAAGATGATAGCTGAAGTATTTTAGGTTAAACAAAATGTGCTTGTATTTGAGAGGTTTTTTTCTCATTCAGTGTCATAATTCATCATTCATAACCAAACTATTTTTTCTCACATGTTTCTGGGAAGCAATATTGTATATTTATCTATTATTTTTAAGTGACTCTTTCATTCAGTATTACGTACTATTTGATGTAAATACTACTTTGAAATAGTTACAAGCAAGAGACACATTCAGTTACCAACAGCTGAGGTGGCTGCTGGTCCAGCTCAAGGAAAAGCAAATTTCTCATCATTAATAACTAATTGCTTTAAAAAGAAAGGAAGAGGGGAGCTTTAAAAACTGAAAGTTAAAAGACAAACTAAAATCACTGCTTTTCTATTTCATCTCTAAATGTAGTAAAATAAGACAAATATTTGGATTATATTTTTTCATAGTTTGTGGAAGTTATGAGATTGTTTTCTCGTGAATGGAGTCTAGATTTTCTCTTTATTTTTCAGGGAACCACAGGCAGTTGATGCAGCTGAAGTCTGCCAGGAAAAAAAGTTTTTACTTCACAAATATTCCCTTTCCCACTTTTCAATACCAAAGATATTTGGAGTTTTTATTGGGTGTGTCACAGTTTATGACTTGATTAGTGTGACTCTAGTTAATCTCCCATTGTAGAATTCAAACACGTTCCTCAAAATACAAATTTGTATGTATCTCAAATTGAAAGCACAACCTATGTAAGTTAAAGCAGAGGAAAGTTGCTTTTCCATTCGTAATTGTCTGCGTTGGGCTTTACCAAATTGGACCTTTGTCATTCGTTCCACAGCCTGCTCCATCGAGTCATCACCACGTGCTGTCTTACACCATAGACTCCTGAACCCCCAGCTGGCCATGCCTTTGTTGTTTGGGGCATTAACATTTCTGACAGAGCGCATATTCATATGGAATGATAAGCATGAATAAAAAGCATCTGTAACTTTTGAAAAAGTTAATATGGACACAAAAGCAAAGGCATTCATAACTGTGATTTCAGGGGAATTAGTTGAGGTGTTTAAATTTCTCAGCTGTATGGAAATCATACACTCTTCTACAAGGGTCAAGAAGGACAGTTGAATGTCAGAGATGGATGTAGATGAACTTTGCTTATGAAAACTCAAGTTTTCATGTGAGATTTTATTTTACGTTGTTGAATACAGCGATTTCTTGTTCACTGAATAGCAAAAATTAAGAAGAAATTCAATGAAAAGTCAGGACGATCTTGTTCATTAGTCATCACCGAGGTTCCTACACTCTAGGAGTTGATTGTTTCCTGCTAGGATTTATACATCATAAAATTGATGTTTCATAGATAAGTTCACTGAATTTTTAATGTCTGAGAGGGAAGGTGTTTAGCATCAGAAAGCATAATTTAGAGTTATTTGTGTTTAATTAATATTTGAGTTTTCCGTTGTGAATTTAGAAACCAAGTATTTCCTAAACCTGTAAGCCCAAAGTATAAGTCTTACCTTATTTAAATATCTAGTGATATTTTTTATTGAAATTAAAAATTCATTTTCACTTGTTCTTGGATTAACACACAGTTCTTTTCTAAATTTGGCAGATTACAATTTCCCTGACCACTCTGAAGCTTAAGTGGTTATCTCCCTCCGTGCTTACAGATTGTTTCTCTGCTTCTCCCTTACCCTGCCAGCATGTCACAGAGCCCACCTTCACCTGCTAGTGTCAGTCTTTCTACACATTTGAAGCCTTAAAAATTTTGTAAGTCAGTTGCTCTTAGGCATTTCATCATCAACTGCAAATTCAGTTAAAACCTTCTATTTCCATGAGTTAATTAATATGCCAGATTCTGTTAAATATTTAAAATGCCCAAACAACAAAACATAAATTTTTGCAACGATCTTAAGTTTGCTTCGAATCCATCTGTGACGTCATAGGCTTGATTCATTTCCTCATCAGTGTCTGCCTTTACGCCGGTGAGGGAAGTGTGGTAACCTCTGTGGCCTGAACCCACAGCCCACCACCTTTCCCACCAGATGCTCTCCAGCTGCAGGTTCCGCCTCCCAGAACTCCCTGAACCATCAGCTCTTTCAGGACAGGGAACTTCTCTCGTTTACTGCTGTATCTGCAGATTTTTAAGTGTCCCTTTCAGAATGAGATCTTCATGGAAGTTGGTTCTTTTAGCAATCTATTTAATCAATTTATTTATTTATTATTTATTTATTTAACATATAATGTATTCTTTGTTTCAGGGGTACAGGTCTATGATTCATCAGTCTTACACCCAGTGCTCCCCACAACACATACCCTCCCCAATGTCCATCACCCAGCCACCCCATCTCCCCACCCCCCCAGCAACCCTCAGTTTGTTTCCTAAGATTAAGAGTCTCTTATGGTTTGTCTCCCTCTCTTGTTTCACTTTTTCCTCTTTCCCTATAATCCTTTGCCTTGTTTCTTAAATTCCACATATCAGATCATATGATAATTGTCTTTCTCTGGTTGACTTATTTCTAGCAATCTATTTAAATTGTACTTTTAATTCAAATAGAATTAGTGTCAAAAAAGAAAATAGATGAAAAAAATGGCCACACTAAACCAAATCCAACATTCCAAGTACAGATTTTAAGCTTCCTTCCCCACTGTCTGCTTTGTTGCCTTACCCCGGCTCACAGAGCGGAAGAGGAGGAGTTTGGAGCTGATCCCTCTGACCGCCCGCATGGTGATGGCCCACCTGGTGAACCACCTGGGACACTTCCCGCTGCGTGGGGGCCCTGCCGTGCTGCACAGCCTGGTCAGCGAGAACCATGACAACGCGCACGCCGAGGCCCCCGAGCTGTCCTCCGAGGTGTTCCGGAGCCCAAACCTGCAGCTCTTTGTGCTGAATGACAGCACCCTCATCTCCTACCTTCAGACGCCCTCTGAAGGGCCAGCAGGCGGCTCGCGGGGGGGCACCCTGTCAGACGTCAGAGTCATTGTGCGGGATATCTCAGGGAAGTACTCTTGGGACGGGAAGGTTTTGTATGGACCATTGGAAGGCTGCTTAGCACCCAGTGGCAGAAATCCTGCATTTCTGATTTCGGGCTGGCAACCTCAAGCTTTGGGAGCTCAGAAAGATTTTTCTCAAAGTGAGGAGGGAGATGACGTCCTCGACAAATTACTTGAAAACATTGGCCACACAAGTCCTGAATGCCTTTTACCATCACAGCTAAATCTAAATGAGCCCTCCCCACCCCCGCGGGGAATGAACCGTGACCAGGAGAAGGAAATCATCGAGGTCATTTTGCGCCAGAATGCCCAAGAAGACGACTACATCCAGAGGTGTAACTCTGACTCGGCCATGAAAGTCACCAGCCAGGAGCAGCCCTCACCAGTAGAGCCGCAAGGACCCTTTTATTTCTGCAGGTTGTTGCTCGATGACTTGGGGATGAATTCTTGGGACAGAAGGTAACAGTCCTCTCTAGACCTTCACCTATTTTATCATTATGTTTGTGTGTGTGTTCTTGTTCTCAGTTTGGGATTTGAGAAGCAGAGAATAGAAATGGAGATTTTTCTTTCTGCATTTGCAGCTTATTTTCTACTGCTAAATTAGAGCTACAAGTGAAACTAATTGTGCTGTACTGATGCACAGATTGAATTTCAGGCATCTCGTGTATTTTCAAGGGTACCAGACATTTTCTGTGCATGCGCACATGCGCGTGTGTGTGTTTTAATTACTGCTCTGTCCATCATTGCTTGTGTTGGCACAAAAGATGCAAATGGACTACAAAGATCAATAAGCCACCATCTCACCTTAGGTCTGGTGAAGGAGGTAGACTTGGCACGACTCTGATGAAAGACAGCATGACACAGGAGTCTGAGAGGAACAGTTAATCCAATACGAAGTGTGGGACAGTGATCTGCGGAAGGGGTGGGTTTGAGCTGGGCCCTGACAGTGGAGTGGGGTTTCTAAGGGCAGAGGTAGGGAGAAGGGATTCACAGCAGAGCTGATAGTGAAAAGAGGCACAGGCATACACACATCAGTGAAGCACTCTTTCACCTCAGAGCCATCCTGTGTCAATGGGTAGGGATGGGATGCCATGGAATTTTGATGCCTTTGAATATCTTAAGGAGAATGGAGTTCATTCTGTGGGCTCAGATCACAAATCTTTTATGAATGAGGAAGGTTATGGATGGGTACGTGGATGGATGAGTGGTAGGTTTGTTAATTGATTGGAAATGGCAGAATTGGTCTGTGATTACACAACTTTTCTTCCATCTCTTTTTTTTTAATAGAAAAAATTTCCATCTGTTGAAGAAAAATTCAAAACTGTTGAGAGAGCTAAAAAATCTGGACTCCCGTCAGTGGTATGTGAAAGTATATCAGACCACTTCCTTCCTATCTCTCATTGTGTGTGCTTGGATGACAGAGCTGCAGGAACGAATACACCTACAGAGACACCCAAAGGTTGTTCTGTAACTAGAATCTGGTGACATCTGCACATGCCATACCTTTGGTGTTTTTCCCCTGGAGGAATAAGCTTAACATGCTTGCTATGCTAAGAAGAGGTCATTGCTCCCATCTAATCTGTGTCTTTGGTTGAGGACCTTTTCATGTGGCAGCCAGTGGACATTCATTCTCATTTAATCTCTGTAGCCACCTCTTTCTCCAATGAGGAACAGAGGCTTACCAGGCCCAAACAGCCTACCTGTGCTCACATGTAACCATTTTGTTTAAACCAAGTGAGTCTGACTTCATAACCCGTGCTTGTGTGCCAATTCACTGGCTGTAGTCTCTGCACTACAACGTGGGCAAGCTTAAAACCAGTGCGTTTCAATTAGTAACTCCCTAGTAGTGATTCTTCTTCTCGGAGCTGGTCAAATCTCAGGTCTGCCCCTTATCTGTACAATCTTAGAAGCAATTCTCCAGATGAACTCAGGACCAGTTTTTGATTTGGGGAAATGTGTGCTTCCAAACACATCTCAGGCAACAGTAAGTGTAGTGCTTGGTACATAACAGGTACTTAAAAGTCTTGAATAAACTGCTTGTTTAATCTTAGTTTTTAAAAAAAAAAAAAACACCTCATTTCCTAAAAAATAGCTTTTTGTTCCTGTTTTATTCCCTGGAGGAATATCATTAGGTATCTCATTACAGATGAAAAACCTGAAGCCATTATTCCTCACATTGCCCTTCATCATATTCAGTTTCCCAATTGTTGTTATGCTTCTTTTTCTCTAGAGGAATAGAAACCAAATTCTCTGTGGAAACTCTGCGAGGGGTTTCTTGTGAAGGACTCAGGGGTTCACTTCTCTCTCCCCCTTGCCCTCCAGTATTAAACAAGCAGTCACCTGGGCTCCAAACTCAGCTTTTCTTTTCTTTTTTTTTAATGTTTTATTTATTTATTCATGAGAGTCAGAGAGAGAGAGAGGCAGAGGCAGAGGCAGAGGGAGAAGCAGGCTCCCCGCCTAGCAGGGAGCCCGATGCAGGACTCAGTCCCAGGACCCTGGGATCATGATCTGAGCTGTAGGCAGACGCTTAACCATCTGAGCCACCCAGGCGCCCCAAAACTCAGCTTTTCAAGCATATGCTGAATTACTCCATGCTTCTTAGTATTAAGTGAATACATTGGTATCTTGTACTTGTGGCCAATTTGTTGAGTGTTAATGCACTTTAGTTGCATGAGGTACAATTCAATGAGCTCTCTGGGGTGCTGTTGCAGTAAAACATGACTTTGGAGAGCTGATCAGCAAATCCTCTGTCCCTTGATTAGCCTTCACTTAAAACCCCAACTCCTGGATTTAGTGTCTTCTTAATATCCAAAAAAGGTATCAACTTACTTTATTGTACAGGGTGTTTTCAAGGTTCTTTTTGAAAAAAAAAAAGTGGAGTTGGGGACTCTAGATATGGGAAATCTAGACAGTCCCATGTATTGGTCAGTTAGTAGGTAAGAACATACCTTGTCCCTCAACTTTTAGTTAGTGTGGCTCTGTTTATTTCTGATAACAATTTATCTCCCTGCTGTCAAGGCATGGTTCCTGCTTAGCATGTTCTTAGGAAAAGTAGAGACTGCCTTACAACTATCATCTCTATACCGTGAGGATAGCGAAGATGTAAAAAGTGTGATGAACGCACGTGCAAATTACAGTGGGCTCCTCTTTTAAATATTAATACCTCTTGTCACCACATGGTAAGGTGAAAGTTAAAATCATGTTTTTTTCTTTGTTTGGCTTTTTAATGTGACAGCACAAGGACACTGAGCTATTCTAGTCTATTCCTAATAAGAAAGAAAAATGCATTCTAATGAGGAAGAGGAAATTGTTGATTTTATGTGCGTGCGTTCCTGAATTACCTGCTCCTTCATGCATTGGTGGTGCAGCTTATGGATATGAAGAGCTGTTGCTAATTATCATTTCAAAAGCCTGGCTCTAATAAGACCAGACACAGTGTCTGATCCTAGCAGGCTCTCTGTGGTGCTAACATTTTGGAGGATGTGAAATTTGATGAATGTTTACAGCTAAAGGTCACCTTTCCTCACACCTACATCAGTCAGGCAGTCACTGGGGCTTAGCTCTTATGCTCCCATATTGAGTTAATGAGGACTCAAGGATCTGCGAGCAGCTACAAGATAAAAAGCTTGGACTTTGAGGAGAGTCAACAAAAATGTTTCAGATAAACCTGAGATGGTCTTGATATATGTATAGAATAGCGAACGATCATATGCTGAGGACTTTTGAATATACAGAGAGAGCTGCAGAAAGGAATTGAGTGACTACTTTTTCTCCTTTTGTTGAAAGAGACAGTCTTTGGGTCATAGGTCATGATCTCTGTCATCATCCGAGCCCCCAAGTTATTACAGCTCTGAGAATAAGCTAGTCAGATTCTAGACTGCGGGAGTGTCCTGCCTGTCACTGAGGGAATAAATGGTGTGGCAGTTTCAGGGCTCCATACTGCATAAGGACAAGCTTTCCGACAGTCTGAGAGCACAAGGTCTCTACTCTAGAGCATCAGTCCCCTGGGTCTGTCACCACAAAACTTCCCTCTTCTTGTAGCAACGGTTCCCGTTAAGAGAGGTGCCCCCAACTGTGTACTTGTACCACGCCAGGCAGAGCATTCAGGATGTCCACCTTGTCCAGGGGCAGCAGAACAGCACTCATCAAAAGCCTTAAAAGTGGGCAATGACCGAGATTCTTTTTCTATGAATGTATTCAAAGGACATATCAAAGATAATGTTACAGTGTCTTTAAAACTGGAAGCAACTTAAAGGTCCAATGACAAGGATTTGGGATAAGGTGTATTCATGTATGGAATGTTACACAACCATTAATAACTTTGTCATACAGTTACATGGTGTGAAAGTGTTCCCACTCAAAAATGGTTTAAATGGTGACTTTTATGTTATGCATCTTTTATACAAAAAAAGTGTTCACAAATATTTTCAGTGAAAATTATCAGTTGCAAAACAGGGTATAGTAGTTTCTCACTTTTGTATGTGAAAATGCATCCTAAAATGGTAACAGTTGCGATTTCAACATAGAAGCAAAGAACATAAGTGAATTTTTTATTCTTCTCTTTCCTTTCTATATTTTCTAATTTTTCTCTTAAGTACATTTCTTTTACATAAACTGTGGGGGGAATGAATAAGCTACCTAGATAAATAGAAGGAGAGTACTCTCCTCCTTGATTCCTTTTTATGACTTTTTAGTTGAGTTTCATTTCATTCTGCTTATTAAGTAGAAACCTAACTCCTGCAGAAGGAAATATTGGCAAATATGTTAAAATATAGAGCCCAAATTCCACCAGTATAGATGTCTAATCAGATTATAGTGCTAAGATGTTGAACAATTAAGACAATAGAAACATTTCCATATTGCTTAACACTTGATAGTTTTCCCTATGAGATTTTTCAGAATGCAATGCAAAAATAATAAGGAAGCTGGAACTGCTCTGCAGCTGATAATACAAACTTTTAGAAAATAGAGACCAGAGTAAAACTCTTGGATGATGGGGCCATGGAATGAGTGGTTCTTGATGAAAGCCCTGAATTAGCACAGTGTCTTCATATGTAAACTATCACCAAATTGCCAGGTAAAAGTCTAGTTATTTTGACACTTTACTATAGGGTATAATTTGTAGAAGTTGGGTATTAATATATTTAAATATAGCATTGGGTCTCTGGTCAGCAGAGACTTAGCTGAGCAGCTACTATATGCCAAGGACCAGGGTAGATGTACAAAAGGCAAAAAGGACTCCTGTCCTCAAAGTACAGATCATGTTTACTTGATTTAACAGCAAAGCACCCAAAATCCATCGTGGAGGTAGTGGGTGAAGGGTTTCTATGGCCTAAGAGGTTCCTCTGGACATCTGTCCACTCTACCTGGTTCCCTCAGATTAGTCAGAACACAGAGTGGGTGCATCTCCTCACAATTAAAGTACCTAAGTGTGTTCTGCTTGGAAGAAGCTTCTGTTTCTCATAAAGTGTTAGCACATTGTACAGTTCCAGTCAGGGAGCTATCCAATATCTCAAAGTGTGTTAAGTAAAATGTAGGCAGTCACATAGACCTAGTCTCAACTGATATCTATGTGAAATGCTTTCACATATATTTTTTTGTGCCAAAAATGTAGAGAATTTGTCACACAGTGTGTTCTAACATGCTGTTAAATATATCACATGTTCTGAGAGTGATCTCAAGAACCAGACTGCCCTGCTTCAATTCCTGGTCTCCCACTTGCTATGTGTGCTTTTTGTTTAATTCTCTGTGCTTCCTTTCAACCACCTCTACAAGGGAAATGATGATAATTACTTGTCTCTTTGTAGTGTTTGCAAAGAGTGAATGAGAATGTGTGTCGAACCTTCTCAGAACAGTGACTGACCCCTAGTAAATTCCCCATAAATAAGCTCTATATTAGGAGTCATGCTGGTGGCTGTAGTGAAATAAAATTTTAAATAGGAGAATTCTAACTCCTTTAAATTTAAAAATTTATAGCCGTGAAACGCACAAAATTGCAGTGTTTTACATTGCTGAAGGTCAAGAAGACAAGTGTTCAATCCTCTCCAATGAAAGAGGAAGCCAAGCATATGAAGACTTTGTTGCCGGACTTGGATGGGAGGTAATTCATTTCATTTAGGAGCTGTTTATTGACCAGCACTATTTAAGGATGTGTGTAAACTGGACATCGATTATACAAGGTTTTACATTCAAATTTAGTACAGGTAGCGTTATGGAGTTGATGAATGTATTGAATTTGACATCTGTTAGTTGCTTTTCATGTACTTCATACATGAACTTTTATTTCCCTTAACTTTTCCTTTAATGTTATTTCATCTGCTTTTTATCCAAACTGAATAGTCAAATTGGCTCACCCAGCCACAGACAGTTTGTGGGAAGAGAAGATAAGTATAGGCAGAGAAGCATTGGCTTCAGCTACAGTATGGAGATTGGAGAAGAAATCAGTGACTTGGTGGGTGAAAATATGAAGAAAGAGCTGGATGAAGTCAAAAATTGGCATGAAAATAGAATAGAGTAGCCATGAAGGTTTAGCAGCCAATCTCTTTCCCTAAGAGAGCTCCCAGGATGACTGATATTGAAAGAATTTGCTTTTTCTCTGCTAAATGATACTCTGACAGACAGACATATACATTTATACACACACGTGCCCGCACACACACACCCATCTGTCTCTTGGAACATAAATCTAAAGGAGAATATATTTCCAGAATCTAAAAGAACTCAGAGTAGTCATAATGGAAATCAGCATATCTGAAATAGTTTTCTTACTTTTCCTTACTTTTGTTTTGGTTTCTTGGTTATCTGTGCTGTGAGAAACCCTCTGGGTGCATAAATAAGACTTGTCTCTGAGAGTTAAATGTTAGCAAGGAAAATAATATGAAGATGGGGACAGGAGAAGCCTACATCAAGTTCAAGACCATGTACTTTATAAAATGGCAAGTAGATTTTAGTCTAAAAGTGTTACTGTACTCCAATAAATTGTCCTTCTTACTAATAAAGTGACTTCTTATTTACTGTAGAATATACTTAATCATTTTAACTGATAAACTTTTTAAACCACACATTCTTAACTGGAATTTTAAGAAAAGACTAGAACATTAGTTTAGTGTACATATTGATTGTATTTGGCACAGAAGAGATTCTTCTTTTGCTTTTTTTTCAATTGTGTTACAATAGGTGCTTTACTGAAAGAATACCAGTTCATGAAAAGTTAAATTAAAAAAAAGTGGGGCAGGGGGGTCCTAGGCATTGACTAAGAAGTGAGCATTTACATCATAGCTTGAAAAAGAGTGATAAAAAAAAAAAAGAATGATAACTCCCAGACTTGTAGTGGTGTAAATCAGAACAACCCCTTTGAAAGATAAGTTAGCAATGGCTGTTAAATTTTAAAACATCGGTACCCTTTGATACAACATCCTACCAAAACATTCCTTTGAATGTTCCTTGTGATTTGAGCACACCAGCACTGTTTGAGGAAGCAGAAAATCCCATAAATCCATCAATAGGGAGACTGTGTGTGTGTGTGTGTGTGTGTGTGTACATAAATACATATAAATACAAATACATACATATGCATGTATACATATGTTCGTGTGTATAGGATGGAAAAAAGCTAGAGAAATATGCACCAAATTTGTGATGGTGCCTTTCTTAGATTGATAGGATTTTGGAGCTCTTTCATTGTGAGTGTTTCTTTCATGTTTTCATTTTGTCTAATTTAGTATTACATTTATTTGTTATCAGAAAGCTATAAAAATGAAAATAATTAGATTTCTTTAAAACAAAGGACATTCTTGCTTGGTGAATGAGGACAATTTAGGGTTGACCCTCACTCTTTCCTCTTCGTTACCTGCATCAGGTGGATCTCTCAACCCACTGTGGGTTCATGGGCGGACTTCAACGCAATGGCAGCACGGGGCAGACCGCTCCTTACTATGCTACCTCGACTGTGGAAGTGATTTTCCATGTTTCTACTCGGATGCCATCAGACTCAGATGATTCACTCACCAAAAAGGTAAGAAGCCTCTTTGAGGACCATTCTTAGCCACTGTGGTTTGTAGGTGAGGCTCTCCTAGTCCAAATCAAAGGCCTTGGCATAACATGCACCAAGACTGATTTCCTCTGGATGCAATTTCAGTGTATATCTTCTCAAGCTACAGTTGTAATTAATCTGAAATATCTAGCTTGGCACAAACTAGACAAATAAATGAGAAGCAATCAGTCTATTGAGTCTTAGATCCTAAGATTAAGATTTAGGAAAAGGAAGGGTCTTAAATGTTGTTAATTTTGGATCTTCCCTCACCTGACTGTTAACTGACAGAAAATAACATTGTTGATCTCTCAAGTTAGCAAAGGTCATAAGATGCAAGGACCCTGTACTGATGGATTGCTGAGAAAGCAGGCACCTCCCAGGCCTGCTGGGGGCAAGTGGGCAATATCTGTGAAAATGACAAGCGCAGGTGTGCTCCTGCCTAGTGTCCCACCTTTGGCACTGACCTTGTTTCTCTTCCAACTTGGGCCCTGGAGGCAGTTTTATCTAGAATTCAAAGGGAACCTCCTTCACCTCTGAGGAACTCCCCAGGGGAACATGGCCCTGAACTTTCTAACCTGCAAGATGTTCACCTCAGGCGACCCTCTATTAGAGGTGAGGAGCACCTTAACAGAAGAGGAATCTTAGTCTGGGAAGGAAGCCTGGAAATCTGACCCACTTCTCTGAGTTTCCAGATGAAAGCAACGACTGCAGCTAGCCTGCTAGTGGGTGGCCGAGCAAGCCTGGAATCCCTACCTCACACCCACTCTCTTCCTACAAGGATGCAAGAAAAACTGCAGACCTGAGTGGGTGGGAAAACAGCTCATTCAAAAGCTAAGGTTGCCATTGGAGGATCTAGTGTGGTGGTTATAGCCAGGGTCTGGAGACAGGCAGACCTGGGTGCAGCTGTTACTAGCCCATGCCTCAGTTTCCGATCTACTAAACGAAATTGAAATCAGCCTATGTCCCAGGGTTGTTGTGAAGTAAATGGATAATGCCCATGAAACTGCTTAGCATGGTACCTGGTGTAAGATCTCTAACATCAGCCCTCGTCATTGCCCACTGGTCTAATTGAATCTTATTTCTCCTGCCCCATTAAGAGGTGACTGATATTGGCCAGTGGACCCCACTGTTACCACCTCATCTCTTTTCTCTGCAGTTTTGCCTTTTCATCACTGTAGCCCCAGACGTCTAGACCACCTATATTGTGGGCAGTAGTGTTCGTAAGACCTTAGAACTTGGGTCACGGCACAATCACAGACAACTTTCATGGTGACTAAGTGCCTGGGATGTGCAGAGAGCACGATGGCCGTGTGCTGCCTTCCTCAACCATGGAGGAGCTGCCTCCCTGTCTTAGGTTTTGATGGCCACCCCGGTGGCGACATTCTTATTGAAGGGAGGACCCGGCTCTGTTTCAGATTACCAAGACCTTAGGCAAGCCTTCCACATTCTTTTTATTTGCAGTACCTTGTAAATTGCTGCTAATCTGCAAATATGTTGCCATATTCTATGACTTTTTTATGACTGAGAACTATTTTGTTAATATGTTTATTTTTAAAATATCTTTAAAAATTATTTCCTAGGTAGGATTCTTTTATTTTTTTTCCCTCTTCCTTTTTCTTTCTTTTTTTTTTTTCTTTTGTGAAAAGACGTCATGTTTTCTTGATAAAACGCCTTGCTATAAATAATGTTGCAAGGCTTGGCCTGGTTGAAAGATTCCCTACTGTAATAATCAAAATTCAGCTGATACCTTTTGCAGCTCTGAGATTTAGCATCATTAGTGACAAACTCTCTTTATCAGGATGTCTCACAGCCAGACTAAAAATCAGTCACAGTAACAGCAGCCCACAGTTCCTTGTCTTATTCTAACTAAATTGTCCCTAACAGCTTAAAAATGAGCTGCAAAATTCTAAAGTGATTCATGCTCTCTTCTGCCCCTGTCATGGGGGCACTTTTTCAATTCCGCAATCCGGTTGCAACCCCATACTGAACTCTTGATCCTTCACTGCAGAAATTTGTTAGCTCTAGCTAGATTAGATTTTTCACAGCTAATCTAACTGCTGTAGGGGTTTGCAGAGTGGGGACAGAGCTGTGCTATTGGATTTGTCCAATTCATTTGACTCCAGGACTATAATTGCACTTATGTCTTACAAGGCTTTTATAGCCTCAGGCTGGCCAGCCGCATAAAAAACAAATTGGCAGTGATACAGTACGAGTGAAAAGGGATGAAAGGCCCACATTATCAGTCTCCAGGCAGCACTGTTCTGGCAGGAAGTTTCTTGGTTAATTTACAAATAAAACTTAGATTTTAGGATGGGCACACTGTCAGCTGAACAATGGGGATGTCAGGCCTGACTGTTACTTAGTAAAAGTAGCAGCCGGGCCTACTGAGGAGCAGGAATTCTTCAATCAAACAGACGACTCCTTCTGGAGCCAGCTGGCGATGTAATGCAATTAGTCGGGAAAGGAGGTCAGCCTATTAGGTGTGTACCATGACCAGTGTCACCAGTGCGTGCCGCCTGGCAGCAGCAGGCAGAATGACCCAGGCGAGGGACTTTGAAATTCTGTCAGGACGAGAAGTGGCAGGACATGGGGTTGATTTCTTAAGACTGAAGAAGCGAGCATTTGTTCTGAGCCTGTTAAGCATCCGTGCATTCTGGAGCTTGTTGTGCAATTGAAACTGTAGCTGGCGTGAATGACAGCTCCATCCCAGGACAAGACTCATCGGTCTCTCGCAGATCATATATGAGTCATACCAGCTTGACTTGCATGCACGCAACAAACTCATTGGTGGATTTCAGACGGGGGGCCTCTACTCAGAATTCTCCAGAACTCACAAAATGACATCTCTGTAATGAAATCCCCTTTAAATTGAGCAACACATTGAAGCTTCCAGAGTATTCCTTCCTCTTCTGACATGGTGGACATTTTGGCTGGATTAGTTTTACTTGTTTCACCTGTTTATGTTCTGGTCTGAGGCAGAAGAGGGCATGTTTTTGCTCTCTGCTCCAGATCTACCAGTCAGTGGGTCCTGTGGCCTTAGCCCTTAGTTTTGTGAGTTAGCCAATTAAACTGTGACTTGTCCAGAGATCTGGAGCACATGACAGTGAAAGCAGCTTTGAGATGATGAATGTTGTATCATTACCACACAGAAATAGCTTTTCCTTAATTACAGAAATGCCACACTGGGAGGACGGGTCTGTCTGTGTGATACTATTCTCCCTTGCTATGGTTCTGAGAACAGTCCAAACAGAATTAGGAGAGACTTACGTGGATTATATAATTGAGGAACCTAATTGAGAAAAGGGAGAGTAACTGCAAAATTTCAGTAATCACTGTATTACCTCAGAGTTAATGCCTTGAGCAACTTATGCTTCTGGATTGAAAGGAGCCATCACAGGTTTTAGGGTGCTGGCGTTAGGTGATAGCCCCACATTTGGAGAGTGTGTAGTAGGTGTGTTGTTCCCATTGCGACTTTTGTGCCAGCATTATGTCAAGGGGCACAGCATGACCACCCGGCAGTTTGCCTCTCTTGACAGGATGAGGGCAGTCCCACTGTCACAATTCTCTTCTGCTCGGCTAAATCCACCCCCCCACCACCACCAAGTCTCAATTTGATACAATTTCTATTTCCCTTTTTTTTTTAATTTTTATTGCTATGTTTACCACCACACATCACATCATTAGTTTTTGATGTAGTGTTCCATGATTCATTGTTTGCGCATAACACCCAGTGCTCCACGCAAAACGTGCCCTCCTTAATACCCATCACCAGGCTAACCCTTCCCCCCACCCCCCTCCCCTCTAGAACCCTCAGTTTGTTTCTCAGAGTCCATATTCTCTCATGGTTCGTCTCCCCCTCCAATTTCCCCCCCTTCATTCTTCCCCTCCTGCTATCTTCTTCTTTTTTTTTTAAACATATATTGTATTATTTGTTTCAGAGGTACAGATCCCTTGAAAACCTGCCTTTATTGTGTTGCTGGTAATGCTGATTACCATGTTTTCACTCCAAAACGATTGAATTTCAGGACTGTGTTGTGAGAGCTTAGCATGTTTTATTAGAAAGGAAAGAGAAAAGAAAGAGAGGTGGAAAGAGAGGAATAGAGGGAGACGTTCGGTGTTGCTATGAGAACTTGGTGTCTTTCTTTTTCTTTTAACTATTTATGGTGGTAATGGTTTGGCTACACCTTTTGCCTGCTACCCTTTTAGCCTTTATATGTGGGAGGGGAAGAAGAAGAAGAAAGATGCACTGGGTAATTTTACACTTAGAAAGTTGTAGATGCCATTAAATTGTCCTGGATCATCGTGACTTGTGCTCAACACCCACAGTTGCATTTATCCCAGCGCCCAAGCTCAGACACAGTTGAATCGTGCGCCCCTCACCATAGGGGTTACCTGCGATCGCACCTGTACCTCACAGTAGTACAAAGATACTGGTGTAAGTCTTTTTAAAAAAATTGACTTACACAGTCATTCCCAGAAGCATGAAAGAGTAAAGAATAGGAAAGCATTGCCGCAAGCCAACTTCCTTTGTAACCTTGTAAATGGAAAGGAGGCCATTTTGGGGTCACCTCAGAGTTTTCTTTTGTGGTCAAATAGTCTGTAAAGAAAATTTTATTTATGCTAACGTGTTTTAAATACATGGTACTCCAGAGCATCCTTTTTTGTGTGTGTATTTTAATACAAAACTACAACATTACCTTTGACGTAACATTGCTATTTTATTAACAGTGCCTCTGAATTTAGTCATTTTTAGGGTTCATCTATAAGCTAGGGAGCAAGAAATACTTTTTTTGGTGGTAGATAGCATTCTTCTTATGCAGCATGTGAGAGAACCAAACCTCAGACTTTCAGTAGGTGTCAAAGCACCTTCACCAGTCAACCTTTATGGTTGTAGGACTTCAATTTTGGCCAACATTTTAATCTTTAAAATCTAGTTTCTTTTAGTCACAGCCTCAGGCTTATCAGACAATTTCATGCGGGGCTTTCTCTGCCTGGGATGTGCAGTCGGTATGCAGGACTTTCATCAAGGGTGTTCTTGTGGCTGAAGAGCTCGGCCCAGGAAGTCTCAAAGAGTCCCTTCCTTGGAGGCATGCTAAGCCCTCCTCAGAGACGCCAGGGATCTCTGGCTTGTTTTTGGATTTTATGGCGTCTTTGTCTATAAAATGACAAAAACAGTGGGCTACACTATTTGAGCTGTGACAGTACAGTTGGCTTTTGGTGTCAACTTCGATGGCCGTGAACAGTAGAAATGGCACTAAGTTAGAGGCCCCAGCCCAGGTTTCCAGGCCCGCTCTGCTCCTTGCTGTTTGCACACCTTGGTCAGGTGGTGCCTTTGTCTTCCTGAGCCCCATCTCCTCCCTGTCAGATAGCACAAAGATGATGTCATCTGCCTCAGAGAGTTAGTGGAAAGATTAAGCAAAACAATACATCTGAATGTACTTTCTGGATAATAAGGCAATCTCTGAATGCTAGTTACTAGTGTTCTTATTAAATTTAAGTAATACTTATTAATTTCTTAAATGAAGGTAATTTTATATGAACATTTTCTTAAAGCTTTGTCATAAATCTAGTTTTTATACATTTGGTAACAATTGTGTTATAGTAGTATTTGGTCTCTTTTATTCATATTTTTTCTTAACCATTGAATTAAGAGTCTTATGAAGCTCTATTGTAATATGGAATAAAAGGCTCATGTCATTAATTGTTTGGAGACATGCTCAGCAATATAAAGCATAAGGATATAATACCAGGAGTAAAATTCAATTTAAAAAAATCCTTGAAAAGGTCTCATCCCCTTCCAGCAATAATGTACCTGCCATGCTTATACGCATCATCTCAATGCCACTTATTTCATAGAAAGTAAGCAGTGTTTTCATGTGTTTGTGTTTTTTAAATCTTCATAGAAGACAGTGGTGTCGTACCTTTTTTGAGTAGTGAAATATTTTTGCCTCTAAGTATTATAATTCAATTTGTAAGCCACGACCCCTCGTAAACTGCTGTTATCACTCTGATTAATAAAGAGCCAATTGGCCATTGCAGCTCCGTCACTTGGGGAATGACGAGGTCCACATCGTCTGGTCTGAACACTCCAGGGACTACCGCAGGGGCATTATCCCGACCGCCTTCGGAGACGTTTCAATCATTATTTACCCAGTGAAGAATCACATGTTCTTTATCGCGATCACGAAGAAACCCGAGGTACGTTTTCACCACATTATCAGTCTGACTGATATAGCATTTGCCACATGATTCAGTTTTTGAAAAACAGTGATATAAATATGTTAAGGAGGACTTTTTTCCAACTGGCTAATGTCTCACATATATCTGAATTACACATGCTATAGGGAAATTCAGTATGAATTGGGATTTTTCAGAGTATCTTTCCTCAGGAGCACAGAATTCTGTATTTTTATGTCTAGACTCTTTGGAAATTATTGTGTGAAGACATGAATGGTATTTTAAATGTTTTGAATTTAAAATTTTTTTTAATTTTAAAAAACGGTAATTTTAAATTTGGGACACATTAATAATAATAAGAGTTGAATGAACCCCCTGTCACATCTAGCATTTTGTGGATGGCTGTGGGTATAGAATTCGACCTTGCGTGACAAACAGGCACTGCTCACCGAGCCTCTGACTGCTGCTAATGGGGGTCAATCCTGAAGGATTGAGAGCATGGCCGTGAAGAAGACTAGGCCTCTGTAGCACAGCCCGCCTATGTGATGATTTTTAACAACTGAAGCACCTTGCCACAGAATCAATGCAGCCACGTCAATTGGTATTGATCATGGGAATGGCTGGAACAATCCAATGGTTATGTGCCGTGTACTAAATTGGCTGCGGTTTCGATCCTTGCCATGCCTTTAGTGGTATTTTAGTGGTGCTTTGTATAGTGACTTGTTTTTGTGTTGGAATTATTAATAGAAGGGTTTGCTTTTAAGTTTTTAATTAAACGTTTAGCATAGTTAAGTCACTCCTCAAGAAAATGACTTTGTGCTCTAGGTTGGTATTAAGTGTAATCTTCATTTTCATTCCAAATTGTTCTCTTGAAGGAGCTAAAAGTTACCATTCTAAATACTCTCTACTTTTGAGCTTTAAAATAATAGGTAACTGAGATTTCCTGGGATTTATAGCATAATCAAAAGTGTTAAAATCATGCAGATTAAATGAACTAAGAAGTGAAAGGTGCTTCAAACACTGGCTGGCTCAGAATAAAAGCCATTTAAGTGTTAGTTGTTGCTGTTATTATTACCATTGCTAGTAATTTTTCAGTTATAGTCACTACATGAAAATAGAATAAATAATGAATCATTTCTCAGACTAGACACAGTGTGGGTCACCTCCTGAATTCAGAAAAGCCCCACTCTGGCTGGTGAGAAGCCTGACATAAAGGGAACCCTCTTTTCTATTCAGGGAGTGAAGATGCCACAAGTTCTTCATACTAAATATTTGTGTTATTTCTGATTCATGTCTTTGTGTGTGTGTAAAATTTTCACTCTTGTATAAGAAAATGTCTCTGAGTGCTAGTGGCATTTGTGTTTGTCCAGGAAGAACACTAATTTTAAGAATTAAACTAAAAATGTTTATATTAGACAACCAACAGATTTAGTGTCCTATAGCTTCCAAATCTGCAAAATGTGGTTCTTTATTATTTAGTATGGATTAACTGGTTTTATTAGTTCATTTTCAACATGGCCCTCTAAAATGTCACTTACCATCCTAAAAATGTCGCCTTTATTTTTTGTAGTAAATAAAGAACATAAAAGGTATTTCAATTCAGTTCACAGTGTTAAAAGTGACACTTTTAACTTTCTTAAAAAGTGATTTTTTAATAGGTATTACACTTTTAACACGTGAAAACACGTATTAACATACCTTTTCAAAATTTCTTTAGAAAATGTATGTAAGTTTTATAAATTTGGTCATAAATTTTGACAAGATGACTTGAGCAAATCGGTGTCTTAATATTTCAATTCAAAAAGCCTAAAGGGAAGAAGAGAATAATGGCCAACTGGAAATTTAGTGTTATCCCCACATTTAAAGTACAAACCATTACAGTGTAATAAAATTAATCCAGACATTTCCAGGGCAAGTGTGGCTGACCTTTTGTTCACCAACCACTGACCCCAGGGTGAATGCAAGAGGCTTGTGGAGGGAAAGTCTGTTTGTTTGGCTTCAGTCCCTGGTATTTAAATTGCATTCCCTAATCAAATGAAAAGGCTGTCCTCTCTATCAGGTTACAGAATCCATGGCAACATTTGGCCTTTTATATCCATAATGTTAGCCTTTTTGTTTGCATCTAAGTAGAGACACCTGGAGCAATGTTAACATTAACCGATTTAGCATTAATAGCTTCATTATATAAGAATTTCTGATCAGATAGCTGTTACTTTTGTTATATTGCTTCAGCTTGTATTGTTGTCATTTTTTATCTCCCTGCTTGGCAACCAGGCAATGATTTGCAAATTTTTTTTGTCTTGATTAATTAAGCAATATAATTATCAGTAACCGTGATGCAGTCTTTGCTCAACAAAGCTTCTGAGAGAAAACAATGGTAAGTCTGTTAGTATGAATGCATTCCACGCGTCCCAGATGCATGAGGATATTATGGACAATGAGGGGAAAGGCCGCCTGTGAGCGAGGACAAAGGGTGCCACGCAGACTCGACACACTGCACATACCGCCAGGGACATGCTGCGGGCTCCCTGGGACACAGACGCCTCGTTAGATTACAGCTAGTCAGCAGAGATTAATTCTCAGCCATTTGGTGCAATAATTTACCCATTCCCCAGTCTTTTAACTAGTGCTCCTCACTGTGGAAGTAAGGGCTTTGTACTCAAAAGGTTTATTTAACCTTGCCTACTTTTAGGGATCTCCACCAAAATCTTTTTTTTTTTTTTTTCGCTTAGAAATTGTATTGACGCAGCTGCTTGAAACTGAGGAATATTTCTTTGGAGTAGGACAGGATTATGCACAAGTTGCATGAATTATAGGTGGAGTCAAAGGCATTCTTTTAGCACCTGTATATTTCATCTGTATATAGTATGACTCTGGTCTAAGTACATTTATTTTACTGGTCTCTGGGCAGCCATACTTCTCTAAGAATAATTTTAATCCTTTTTTAGGAGGGGGAAAAAGAAAACCTCATCAGTACACAAAAGTCCTGCTCATTGGATAGAGTCATGCATATTCAAAATGTACTTTCATTCACTCGGCCTCATTAATAGCGTATGTAATAATGTAGGGCTATTTGTAATACAAGCTCACAGGCAGCATTGCTTCCAAGTCCTTTGAAATTTAACATATTTCGCTTTTTCATTCCATACTCCTCCCTTAAATATACAAATTATGTGCCTGGCAGAATCCGCCTCCTCTTAATAATACACAGCATTTGCGAAATGGTATGTTGAAGTGTGGGTGTGCTGTGTGAGCACAGAAAACCCTCACGTCTGAGAGGGTCTGCTCACTTCTTGAGCTTTTTATTGAACTTTTTTAAAAAAATAAATAAATAAATATCAGTGTGTTCAGTAACATGATTTCATTGTGAAATTATTTTCAAAGTAAGTTCATCTCTGCAAATATTGACATGGTAGTCTTTGGTCACAAAAAGAAATGTGCTGTTGTCAGATTGCCGGGGGTTTTTTATTTCTATTTTTATTACTAAGTCAGTAGTCAGGGAAGACTTGCATATAGAGCAGAACACGAGTGCTTGAAAGGGTTTGTTTAAATGCCCAATTTATTCTGCAGAAAAGGGGTTCATAAAGCTTCCATATCACAGTGAGAACCCGTGTTGCTTTTCTTTTTTCAGCAACTAAAAATAATTTTGGTGTTCAAAACATTTGCTTTTATGAATTTGTAAAGGTAGGTTTTAGTGTTCCTATCATGTTTATCTCCAGGCACATTAGCAACTTGCTAGTGATGGCCCGGTCAGAGGGTGGACATGCTGGAGCAGCCTTGACCAGGCACAGTTAGGACAAGAGAAAGCTTTGGGGAAGCTGAGAGTCCACCTTATCACCTCAACCAGAATGTCAGTTTTCTAAGTGAAAGACACGTTAATGTCCTCCAGACTCTCCTTACTTGGCCCTGGTAAATATGGGCAGAGGAGAAAAATGGATGATTCAGCCATTTCTGAGAAGTACATGCAGGAAAGAATGCCAGGATAGAGGACGGGACCCCAGAGTTCCAGTTCCTGTGCTGCCACAAGTGGGTGCGGGTCTTGGGCAGGTCTCTTAATTTCTTTGGACTTTTATTTCCTCAGCTGTAGCATTCAGGTTGGGGACCAAGTTCTCTCTGCAGTCCTTTTCAAGGATTCTAAGTGCCCCTTTAAGATGATGGGACCTGTTTGATCCTCCTGTTCCTAGATGCCCGTCCTTTCCCTAAGCTGCCCCAACTCACCAGGTTGCTGTCAAGGTGGTATCTGTCTCCCTTGCAGGCTCAGCAACTACTGTGAGTGTGTCAGTGTGTGAGCATATGCCTGTGTGTGTGTGTGTTCTCATCCCTCTTCAGGAAGACAGCTAGCCCAGAACCTTCACCTGGAGCCAGTGCCCAGAAATGCCAGTTAAGGCTGATGCACCAGAAATCACAAAAGCATTTTTGCACATGTAAGGTGAAAAGTAGTCAGTATTGGCATCTCTGTTTGAAAGGAAATCTTTTACTAATGTGGCTTCGTTATATATGGAGTATGTTTGACTGCAACATGGTTATGGAAATTTCTTTTTATTTCATCCTATGCAATTGTCTTAAATATTTATCTCAACCCCAACCAAATAACCTTCTTGAGATTAAAGCATATCCTTTAAAACATTCTGGGAAATTCTCAGGGAAAGTAAATTGTTAACTTTTGAATATGTGAAGAATCATTTATTCTAAAAGATAATTGAAAATGCTAAATAACCAGAATTTACTAAAAGACATTATTTTTTTAAAGATTTTATTTTTTTAAGTAATCTCTACACCTCACATGGGGCTTGAACTTACAACCCCAAGATCAAGCATCACATACTCTACTGACTGAGCCAGCCAGGCACCCCAAAAATATGTCATTAAATCTATTATCATGATATGTTCTTTTGGGAATTTATTATTATTGTTATTGGAGTTTTTTTAGTAAAGGAATGACATTGAGAACTTTGTGAAAGGCAGCTGTCATTTGCAGATGTTATATCAAAACCAAATTTCTTTAATTCATTGCCACTCCT